GAACCTCCACTGCGATGTTCTGTTCACACATGAAAAGAACTACCTATTATAAAACAGCCAATGTCCGCCGCAGAAAGCAAATATCGAGATGTCCTTGATATGTCACAAAACTACCTTCTCCCTAGTTCTTTTTAAAGCCTTTTCATGGACACAACAAAACCTTTTCAACGCGTCTTGCGCACATTAAATCGCTGTAAAAAAACAATTTCGAGGTACTTTTCTGAAGCCTTTTGTCAAAATGAACTTTTGCATTAGGATTCCATTTCCCTCGAATGGAAAAATGCATTAAAAATAGATCGAACATAAAAATATTTTCTTGATATGAAATTACCTTCTTAATCGGTTTCTGAGTAGTGCTTACTACACACAGACATATAATTGGAAATAGGTTTCCCAACATAATTTTGCAACTGCGGAGAAGCTGGGTATTGATAAATTCGTACTTTTATATATTGATTACACTGAGGCACCGAACAACACATCTTGCATCTGATGGTCATCATTACAATCTAAATAAGTCTTCTAACACAATAAACTTCACCAAATTCCTTTCTGTTCGTTAGCAGCGTGATGTAAGCGTGACACGCTGCAAACGCGAATGCCAATTGCGAACAAGAAGAACAAAGTCGAAAACAAATCATCGTGTTGTGACGTAAGCATGAGACTTTGTGGTGGGGCAAACAAAGAAAGGGCACAAAAGAACAAAAACAATACTTTCAATATCCTTCTAAGACCTCTTTGGGAAGTGCATATTACGCCTCAAAAAAAACATCCTCATGCCTACATTTCTAAAACATCCCAAAACATCCCAGGGATACCTCTCAGTTGGCAAACAAAGAAATGCCACAGAAGAACAAAAACAATACTTCAATATCCTTCAAAGACCTCTTTGGTCAGTGCATATTACGTCTCAAAATAACATCTTCATGCCAACATTTTCAAAACATCCCAAAACATCCCAGGGATGTTTGTGCTTGCTGGGTTGACTGTTCTATGTTTCGATGTCTCGACATCTTTTGAAATCTCTGATCTGATGTTTTCGTGCTCGCTGGGCTGCGGGAATCTGGAAGTATATCTGAAGGTTTGAGAACAAAAATTTTTGTTTAAACTTCTTGTTACAGACAAAAAATAAAAGGTATATGGGATGATACTTCATAAAATGTACCAGAAACGGTTATGGAGTTCATTTTCTTTGCATCTCCAAAATGTGCGTTATAAACGATACCCTGTATGATAGATAATATGCTGATTCACATTAGGACAGAAATACAATTTTCCATACTCCTACGGGGTTGAATGAAATTTGTTTATTTTATTATACCAAGAATAATAATTACTTAGGAAAAATTACGGAACTTTGATTAGAAGTTTACTTTGATTATCTTGATCCGTATATTGTAAATCCTGACTGGCTACACCAGAATTTATGAAGGTATAACTGAAACAATTTCATCAGTGTGTTCTCGACTGTATTGCAAAAATCACAATAACTAGTGGTGATAATTATTTTAAATCGTCTAAATATCGATCTGTAAGTATAAGGCCGAGTCCCTCAACTTCTAAGTTGAAAATAAGAATTTCCTCTTGAGCATGAATTTAGTAGAGTCGTCAATTCTTCTGATTTCCAATAAACAGGAAGACAATGTGAATTTCTATAACGTTTAACGTTACATGCTATGCATGATCTTTTCTCTAAATAAAACCCTTCAAAGTAGGTATTTCTTTATATGGAATGGAAGATAGATCTCATCATTTTAATCAAAAAAGTTTATATAAACATCAGTCCGATCTCTTTCAATAGCGAAGCTACAGGGGGTCAAAGCCTCGGTCAAAGCTTAATTATTTTTTTCTATTAATTGAAATATCTCGCTTACTTTTTGAAATATTATTTTCAAATTCGGTGTGGTCAATACTTCCTAGAAGGTCATCATTTCAGGCCATTTAAAGATTATCAAAATCTACAGGATGATACGTTTTTGGGGGGAGAGGCTTCCTTATTCCCCCCAAACTTTTCCGTAGTACGCCTCTGGCATCTTTCAGTGATCAAATTGTGTGGATTGTTCAATTCAGAAGCTTTTTTGGTCGTCAATTTTTTTCGAGAAACGAACCGTTTTTGAGATAAATAAGCATATACGTTCTAAAACATGTTAATTTTGCCTATGTTTCGCTTACATTTTATTCATCTGAAAAAAAAACCTTGACTTTCTACCCTCTGTATCCCCGTTACTGATCCAGATTGGACTCGTGATTGCAATTTTAGTGAGTACATTTCATTGCACTTTCAACGAAAATAGAATGTTAGCGAAACATAGGCAAAATTAAACATGTTTTAGAACGTATATGCTTATTTATTTCAAAAACGGTTCTTTTCTCGAAAAAAATGAAGGAGCAAAAAAGCCTCTAAATTGAACGATCCACACAATTTGATCACTGAAAGATGCCAGAGGCGTACTACGAAAAAGTTTGGGGAGGATAAAGAAGTCTCAACCCCCAAAAATGTATCACCCTGTAAATTTTGAAAATCTTTAAATGGCCTGAAATGATGATCTTATAGGAATTAAATACCACACCAAATTTCAAAGCGATATCTTGAAAGGTAAGCGAGATATTTCAATTAATAGAAAAAAATAATTTAACTTTGACCCCCTGTAGCTCCGCTACTAAACGAGATCGGACTAATGTTTATATAAACTTTTTTGATTAAAATGATGAGATTTATCTCCCATTTCAGTTTGTGCCTCAAAACCTGAATCACCCTGTATATCTGAGAATATTTCTTCTCCAAGCTTTCATACTGAATCAAGGTGTTCAAACTTGAACAAAGAAAATTTGCTTTCATGCAGACCTCTAATCACAGATTCGTGATTGGGTTTTCTCGATTCAGAATTTTGTCCACGCCCTGTATGATGAACATCAATTCATCTTACAATGAACAAAAACACCTCAAGAGTGAATTCATCCAAATCAGACAAATATACATCCACTTGTCGTCTGCAATCTGATTTTAGCCAATGAGAGATCAGTTTATTGTTAGCAATAAATAAATTTTCTTCAATGTTAACTGATTATGCTTTCTGATATGTCAAAACTAATGTAATTCAACGACAAACGAATGATATGTTCGAAAATTTCAAATGAATTGATAGTTCAATACCAACTTAATAATTTGTGACACAATAGTTATTTTTGTATCTAGATGACCAAAGTATTTCGCGCTCGAGTTGCAAACAAAATTTTTTCTACAAACGTAAAAAAATATAGTTCTAAAGTGAAAATATGCTTAGCTTGATGTAAAAAATAGTGTTGAACTGGCTTAAAAGGCCTCCCCGTATCCTTCCTAGGTACGTACGATGTTCCACGAACATAATAGGAATTTCCTTTCGTGCGCTCCAAGAGATGAAACAAAGTTATTGTTGAAAATTCAGGGATAAATGATTCCGTGGATGTATGCTCGATTGAGGACCATAAAGTTGAAATATAAATATCTCATATATTTTACATAACAATGCGCGAAGTAGGTACTTCGGGCACTGATTTACTTCGCGCATTGTTTTGTGCAAGGTATCATGGTAACGTAGGAAACTGAAAAAAAGTGTCACTCCGTAATTTGTTAGCAATGCGCGAACCTTGTCATTTTTTGACGTTTGTAGAAAAAGAAACATATTAGTTCAATATTAGCTAATATTTCTTAATATCAACTGTTCCGAAGTTTATTATTGAAATACATCCATTAATGATGAAATTATATAACTTCGAATAAGTATACTATAACTGATATTATGATATGGTTATTCCATATTTTGCTTCAGGCTTCAATAACTCACTCAATGCCTGAATGCCTGTAAAGTATAGGTACCTACATGTTCTGCAATATAATAGTCTCGATAATAGTTATCAATCACAATTTAGTAGAAGAAGGCTCTTCCAGTTCATCAAGAAATAACATGTCTGGATCTGGAATTGAAAAAATAATTGACTTGACTGACAGACAAAAAAAGAAAAATAACCTTTCCCATGAAAAAATTACAAAAATTTGTTCAACCCCTCACCTTCACCAATTCAATCCATCTACCTATTATTCCTTCATTTTATTACATTTGGTGAGTCAATTCATAATGAAAAACTAGTACATTATGTGAAATATATATTACTCACTCTATAAATTTGATTCTACCATTAGTTCCATTGATTTCCAAGCAAGTTCCGACTTCTTTCCGAATTAGGTTTTCGCATTAGACTGGCCATGCATATTTGAAGAATTCGTTCAGTCTCAACACATGATGATATTGTTCAAAGTGAAAAAATTTCCTCTATTCATCTGTATGGACTGTATGTAACTGAAAAATGATGAAAAGTAAAAGCAACAAGCTTCACATGACATAATTTCACTGTATGATTAGAATTAGACCAAATGAAAATGTATTGAGCATGCTGATAAAATTAAATGAAAATATAAACAAAGTATATACTCACTCGTACATATCCATCTGCTAGGTATATTACAAAAAGTACAAACAACTATTAATTCTACATCACGCATTTCATTGAATACATAGAATTCAAAAAACTTTTGCATTATTCTAATTATTGAAGAGGTTGCTCTGAGGAGTAGTGGGTTAAGGTATGAATTTTATTTTTGGCGTCAAAAGGTATCTCCCTCCAAATAAAAATCTACATGTTTCGTTATTTTTTTGTAAACTCATTCTTCTCAGAGATATCGGGGGTGGATGATTTCAAAGGGACCACCCGGTATGTGTTTCACTGAGTCTTGACGACAAAAGTATAATGAGTGGCAAATTCCAACCGTTTGAATGAAACAGTAACTTTGATTCCTCGAAACCATTCAAAAGATATTTGACAAATAAAAAAAATTTGAAGCATTTCTGTGAAGATCATGAATTAGAAATGGAAAGTCAGTCCACTAGCGAAAATAAAATCCCCGTTGAGTCACATAATATATCCTTGCTAATCCCAACCTCATCTTCATTTTCAGCTCAAAGATGTCCGAGTACATCGAATACAACTGGCGCACCAGCACAACCATCGAAGAAGCCCTTAGAAACTCGCGCAAACCGAACGACCAAAATCACAGAACCAACGCCCTCAAAGACTTACAAAAACTTATCCAGAGCTACGAAGAACCCCTGCCACAAGACGAGAAAACCCTCCAGAAGTTCCTTCACGCGCGAAAGTACGACGTTCCAGAAAGCTTCGAACTGTTCAAGAACTACTTTTCGTACCGCAAGCAGCACCCGGAGGTCTTCAGCAACCTGACCTTGGAATCCCAGGATATAATCTCCGCTATAGAAAATGGACTACCCGGGGTGTTACCTCAGAAAGATCGCAAAGGTCGAAGCGTTTTGGTCTTCACGGGCGCCAATTGGGACTGCAGCTACCCCTTGCTCAGCATATACCGAGCATTGTGGCTGATCCTGGAACGTTACATCGAACACATCCACAACCAGACCAACGGTTTCGTGGTCATAGTGGACTGGACCGAGTTCACCTTCAGGCAAACCTCCAACCTCAAACCTTCCATTCTGAAGCTGATGATCGAGGGTCTGCAAGACTGCTTCCCAGCCAGGTTCAAAGGCGTCCATTTTATCGGACAATCGTGGTACGTGGAGATGGCGCTGGCAGTCATCAAGCCTTTTTTGAACGAGAAGATCAAAGAGAGGATTTACGTGCACGGGAATAATTTGAGTACGTTACACGAACACGTGCACAAAGACGTTTTGCCTACTGATATGGGAGGCGAACAGCCCTCCTACAACCCAGAGACTTTTTTGGCTTCTTTGAGGGTGAAGGGTGATGTGAAGAAGTGAAAGGATTGTCCCCCAGGTAGCACCCGGAGGTCTTCAGCAACTTGACCTCGAAATCCCGGGATGTAACCGCTGCTATTGAAAATGGACTACCCAGGGTGTTACCTCAAAAAGACCGCGAAGAGCGAAGCGTTTTGGTGTTCACATGCGCCAATTGAGACTGCTGAGCACATACAGAGCGTTGTGGCTGATCCTCGAGCGTTACATCGAACACATCCACAACCAGACCAACGGCTTCGTGGTCATAGTGGACTGGACCGAGTTCACCTTCAGGCAAACTTCCAACCTCAAACCTTCCATTCTGAAGCTGATGATCGAGGGTCTGCAAGACTGCTTTCCCGCCAGGTTCAAAGGCGTCCATTTCATCGGACAATCGTGGTACGTTGAGATGGCGCTGGCCGCCATCAAGCCTTTTTTGAACGAGAAGATCAAAGAGAGGATTTACGTGCACGGGAATAATTTGAGCACGTTGCACGAACACGTGCACAAAGACGTTTTGCCTACCGATATGGGAGGCGAACAGCCCTCCTACAACCCAGAGACTTTTTTGACTTCTTTGAGGGTGAAGGGTGATGTGAAGAAGTGAAAGGATTGTCCCCCAGGTAGCACCCGGAGGTCTTCAGCAACTTGACCTCGAAATCCCGGGATGTAACCGCTGCTATTGAAAACGGACTACCCAGGGTGTTACCTCAAAAAGACCGCGAAGAGCGAAGCGTTTTGGTGTTCACGGGCGCCAATTGGGACTGCTGAGCACATACAGAGCGTTGTGGCTGATCCTCGAGCGTTACATCGAACACATCCACAACCAGACCAACGGTTTCGTGGTCATAGTGGACTGGACCGAGTTCACCTTCAGGCAAACTTCCAACCTCAAACCTTCCATACTGAAGCTGATGATCGAATGTTTGCAAGGCTGCTTTCTCGCCAGGTTCAAAGGCGTCCATTTCATCGGCCAATGGTGGTACGTGGAGATGGCGCTGGCCATCATCAAGCCTTTTTTGAACGAGAAGATTTATGTGCACGGGAATAATTTGAGCACGTTGCACGAAAACGTGCACAAAGACGTTTTGCCCACCGAACAGCCCTCCTAGAACCTAGAGACTTTTCTGGCTTCTTTGAGGACGGAGGGTGATGTGAAGAAGTGACGTTTTAGTGAAAAATTAGCAATGATTAAAGTTAGGAACGAAATTGAACCAAAGATGATTATTCGAGTGATGTATATAGTCGCTCTTTGACAGATAAACTGAGATTTCTCATATTGATACCAGTATGTATGAGTACATACCTGACGAAGTTGTATACAAGGCGATCTGAAAAATATTGCTCTATGAGACGAACATATCCACTAATGAAATAATGACATTCTGATGATATCATTGTTCAATGCAAGTATAACATGTTAATACGAGAAATGTGAAATTTGATTTTTTTTATCTCTTGGAGCGCACGATGAGAAATTCCAATTATGTTCGAAGAACGTCGTGCGTACTTAGGGAGAATAGGGAGAACATCAGGTAGGCGTTGGAATTTGTTTTTAGTTTTTCGAGGTTATAAGTTCTTGAGAATACTTCCCTTTGCTGAGAATTCCAAAGCTTTATTTGCCGTTCTATATATAGACGAACGAGTTTTGGTAGTGTTGTTGTTTTTCAAATCGCCTCGTATAAAACCTAACTTGGAAGGTATGCACTCAAACAAAATTCTTGATTCCTGTTAAAATTCCCCACATTGAATTTCTTGAAAAAATATTAGTTTTTTCGCATTTTATTGCCATTTTTTTGTTGCACCTTGTATAAATATCCTCAGGAGTATGTATCCATCTCAGTAGAATTATCAAATTCCGCATATTGTATTTCTCGAAAAAAATGTAATCTTTTTGCATTATTGCCATATTTTTGTGGCACCTTTGAATAAATATCCCCAAGAATATCTGTTATTTCATTGAAATCTACATCTAAGGCGAATTAAATTACTTCTACGTCCCAATTTTTCAAAAAATCACCAAAATGCATCAAAACCATTTCGAAACCTGACAACAAACTTCATGTTCATATATATTTAGTATAAAACTCCATAATTGTATCTATGGAATTGAGGAAGCCATGATCCATCTGAAGAGAGATCTGTTTTTCTACATCGAATCTCATAATACACTCAGTTCCAAAAAAAGTGACGCACTTGATATTTGACCTATCTTCTTAAAAAAAAACGAAAAATATCAGGCCGATTTTTATTTTTTTTATTTGTTGGTAGGTAATTTGCCTTTAAATAAAAATAAAGAGGTGACAATTTTTTCAAAGCCTCCTTGATGGTGGTGGAATAACTCGAACCATGATTTATTCTTAATTTTTGACTCACCCTGTGTGTTAATTGAGTAATAGCATAGAAAGTGCTTGCACCCTATACGAAAGAGGCTTCTTTTGCGAGCATTTTGTTTTATTATACATTGATTTATCTCTAAAATTTTCCGAATTACAACTTTTTTTGCTGAATCCTTGCAGATTACCAACTTTCTGAATTTATCTAGAAACAATTTTCTAATGAAATAAACTGATACCAATAATTTTGGAAAACATTTTTATTAAACACAAAATTATAAATTGGGATGACTGCTTAATACTGTCACAACAAAAGGGGTGTGCTCTCCACCATGACACAACAAAATAGTTGGTTTCCCAAAAGGGGTAATACTTGGCTTAATATTTTGCGAGAGGTAATATTCAAATAGGCACTAATAGTTTAGGGGTAACTGAAAGTATGAGACTATATCCAAAGATAACAATATATGTATTATAACATGTAACATTAAGGGTGGCAATGACAAATATGAATAAACAAAAATTAATATAATGACCTAATAACAACTTACATTATAACGACCATTACGACGAGCTCTTGTCAACTCAAGAGTAGCCCCAGACCAGACTGACTTCGGAACCCCCACATCCAATATTTATATACATCATTTTATTAAAAATGCACGTTTCTCATGAGAGTTTCTTGGTCAGTGTTTATAATTCAATGTCAACGGATGATTTGATTTACTTTATGTTTATAAAACCCTCATGGTTCGAAATTACTGATATACCGTATATTCTACTCGTGACAATACCGTATATTGCCTCCTCTAGCAACTCTAAGAACTTCTAATCAACGAGGCATACTGGAATAAATTAAGTTGCTTGTCGTTTCCATTGGTATACGACACGGCCTACGATCCCATTCTTCCACTAATGCATCTGCCATTTCTGCGAGACTTTCCGGAGACCTCTCGCGAGAACGTACCCTTTTCCCTAATTCATTCCACAAATGTTCTATAGGATTCATACCGGGGTTTCTCGCAGGCCATTGTAATGTGGTAATACTAGTAGCTTCTTAGAAGTTTCGCACTATTGCTGCGGTGTGTGATCGGGCATTATCCTGCATCAATATAAAATTATTGCACACTAACTCTGCATGAGGTAAGACATACTGCTCTAAAATGTCAATGTAAATTTGGGCATTCATCGACTGCCTCACCGGAAAAACATGAAGGGGTGTCTTTCCATTCATTGAAATCCCTCCCCACCCCATAACGGACCCACCATTAAAAATTTCGCATTCTGTTATTGAATTTTGATTAAACCGTTCACCAGTTCTTCCCCACACTCTTTTCTTCCATCCACCATGTTAAGGCTAAACCTTGACTCATCCGTAAACAAGACATTCGACCATTCAGGAATATTCCACTGTCCATAATTATCAACAAAATTTCTTCTAGCAGCACGATGTTCGGGCAATAATTTGGGACCTTTTGCAGGTCTCCTAGCTTTTAAATTAACTTCTTTTAGACGTCTACATACCGTCTGCAACATCACGAATTTGGCGAAGATCTTGCTGAACATTTACCGCAGTATTTGATTGATTCCGTAAAATCCGCAATCTCAAGAAGCGATCATCTCTTGGAGAAGTTTTTCGGGGGCGACCAGAACCGACCCTCCGAGCGGTGCTTCCTGTTTGGAAGTATAGAAAGATAAACCTTGTATGACCATTTTCTATCGAGTCATCGAGTTGCGAATTTTTTATAAGTACTTGTTAAACAAATGTCACTCTATACACAAACATTAATATTTTGGCGAAATCATTTATCACAATCTTTATGTTTACGAAATTCTTGAACCAATTTCAAGTTGTGTTGCATGAATCCATTTGCTCACATCACAACATCACATACTATAGGTACCTACTATCTGCTGTTACCGATTAATCTGATTGTTTTTCAGATAGCAGATTATTCTGGTGATGAAATATACAGGTTGGTCCACTTTATTGAAATATTGGCAACTGATGAAATATCCTATTTCAAGAAGAAACGTGTCTGTGATCGTTGGTTATTAGACGCTTTGTTTTCGATATACAGGGCGTTCAAATTGAAAGAGACAATTGATTTTCCTTCAATTACTAGAAAACCCCCCAACAATAATACGAGATATTCCGGTGGTATATTAACAGCCGGAAAAAGGAACGTTATCGGTAAAGTCTCCTTTTATAGTTAAAGTTGATTTTACTTTGATTTATTTTCACCTGACGTTACGATTGACATTTCCAAAGTATTCGCTCGAAATGAATTGTTCAATGGAAAGTTCTAGTAGCTCGTCAGATATTGACGAAGATAATAATAATATAATGATTCTCAGGTGAGAGAAAATCTGTGTGCAAATACATTCGTTGTATTTTTCAGCAGATCCGTGACGTCGTCGTTAGGGCAATATCAATGTTTTTCGTTACAAATTGGAGAGGTATTGATGAAAAATTTCCAAATTTCATTATGAAACATGGAAGAATGTTCAGTTTCATAGTGAAAACGGAAAAATCAAGACAATACACCTCCCATCAGACGCTCTATGAATAATATAAATTCTTTAAACGCAGTGACATTTTGGGGCAAATCATCTGAATTGTCCTAACTATACACGTATATTGAAATAGTATTCTGGAACACATTGCCAAGGGCGGTGTTCCCCGAGGCATATAACCTCCAGAAATTTAAGAAGAACACCAATTCCTACCTTATTATCCTTGGTTCTCACGATGGTCTCTGAACATTACAACGAGGAGAGAAAATCTCAAAAAAATCTGGAATTGAGAATATATTATATTGATGTTCCTATTCTTGAATCAATATATTTATAATGTTTACCCTGACACAATATTTTATTCTCTATCCTCCATGCTGATTATCCTACTAATTCAGTGTTGCCATCTTGCTATTCATTTTATTAACACCGTCTTATCAGCTTCGCCTGTATGTATGTATACAGTGTGTCCCACTTACGATGCTCACCATGGGTATCTTTTTAACGGTGAGAGATACGAGGTCGGTTAAATGACACAAAATGTGGAGTTTGTCAAGGCCAACTATAATGTGAAAAAATATTTTGATAAAATCTATTCGTTTTTGTTTTATACGCAAAAAACAGATTTTGGTCATTTTCATGTCTCCTCCGTAACTTCTTTATTTATGAAAATATTCAAATAGGAGCTTCACATTCTCATGGCAGTTTTTCGAAATGATTTCGAAAAGAATATGAAATTTATACCAACTCTTCTAGAATTTGAGATATAAGCACCAACTTTAGCTTTTCAAATGTAGGTCATAGCTCACTATGACTTAGTTACAAATAACTTTTTTTTCACTTACAGATGATGTGTCGCAGTAATAGTTTTGTGTTGATAACAAAGGAGTTATCGTCATTTATACAAAAACAAAAAATGATTTGGATGCCGCCATCTTGAATTCATAAATTTTAACAAAAAAATCATGATCTCCGACCTCAAAAACCCCCACTTACCAATTTTGAATGTAATCGGACCAAATCTTGTCCGCCATCTTGGAGCAGCCATTTTTTTTTAATTTCAGCAAAAATTCCATAACTTCGATTAACTTGAAATTTGGCAGGTGTTCATAATTTCGGTGACAATTCATTATGGAATTTTTGTTGAAATTAAAAAAAATGGCTGCTCCAAGATGGCGGACAAGATTTGGTCCGATTCCATTCAAAATTGGTAAGTGGGGGTTTTTGAGTTCGGTCGGAGATCATGATTTTTTTGTTAAAATTTATAAATTCGAGATGGCGGCTTCCAAATAATTGGTTGTTTTTGTATAAATGACGATAACTCCGTTGTTATCAACACAAAACTATCACTGCGACATATCATCTGTAAGATAAAAAAAAGTTATTTGTAACTAAGTCATAGTGAGCTATGACCTACATTTGAAAAACTAAAGTTGATGCTGATATCTCAAATATCAGAAGCGTTGGTATAAATTTCATATTCTTTTCGAAATCATTTTGAAAAACTGCCATGAGAATGTGAAATTCCTATTTGAATATTTTCATAAATAAAGAAGTTATACGGAGGAGACATGAAAATGATCAAAATCTGTTTTTTTGCGTATAAAACAAAAACGAATAGATTTTATCAAAATATTTTTTCACATTATAGTTGGCCTTGACAAACTCCACATTGTGTCATTCAACCGACCTTGTATCTCTCACCGTTAAAAAGATACCCATGGTGAGCATGGTAAGTGGGACACACTGTATATGTATCTATGTATTTTGACCCACTCTAAACAAACCGATTGATTTCAAATTTGGTAGTTATACATATTTCGGGTGGCAATGTATCATGAAATTTTTGTTAGACAAAAAATCAAAATGACGGCTCCAAAATGGCCGAGGAGTACTGTAATTATGATCCGATTCTATTCAAAATTGGTATTTGGGGGGTTTCGAGGACGGAGATTATGATTCTGTCGTCAACAATAGTAAATTCAAGATGGCGGATTCAATGACGGACGAATTTTATAATTATGATACGAATCTATTCAGAATTTGTATCTGCGGGTTTTCTGGATCAGAGGATATGATTCTTTCGTAAAAATTTTTAAATCCAAAATGGCTGATCCAATATGGCGAAAGAATTTTGTAATTATGATCCGATTCTATTCAGAATTGGTAACTGCGGGGTTTCAATGTCGGAGATGATGATTCTTTCGTCAAAATTGGTACATTCAAGATAGCGGATCCAATATAGCGGACGAGTTGTGTAATTATAATCCGAATCTACTCGAAATTTTTAATTGGGTGTTTTTGGGGTTGGAGATTATGATTCTTTCGTCAAAATTGGGAAATTCAATATGGTGGATCCAATATAGAGCACGAGTTTTGTAATTATATATGATTCGATTTTAATCAAAATTGGTATCTGGGGGTTTACGAGGTCCGAGATTATGATACTATGTCAAAATTGGAAAATTCAATATGGCGGATAGAATATGGCGAACGGGTTTTGTTATCATGATTCGATTTTATAAAAAATTTGAATCTGGGGATTATCGGGGTAGGACATTATGATTCTTCTGTCAAAATTGTGTTTCTACAAAAAATATATGAACAGTAAGAAACAAGCTATTGTAGTTAGCCGAACTCAAAAATATAAAATAAATAGTATAGTTTGGAAAATTAAAGGAACACCCTTTTATAGATAGCCAAACTAAAAGGGAGTAGAAAATAAAATAATGAAAGTGTGTTGATAAATACGCAACAGAGAAAATATTAGCATCTGTGTAAACATCAGTATGTTCTATATTTTATTATTATATTTTCTACTTCTTTTTAGTTTGGCTATCTATAAAAGGGTGTTGCTTTGTTTTTTTAAACTACCATTTATTCATCAATAAGGTTCATGGCCAAGTGGTAAGGTTTCGGGTTCATGAAAATTCAATCACAAGATAGTAGGTGCGCATCTCCACCGGAGGCTTTTTTAATTTCCCTCCTTCTTCTTCAATATTCTAGGAAAATTCTCAGAATATTTCAAACACTCCATTCCGAATGTTTGTAGAACGTCCCTGGAATATTCGTATCATATTGTGAGAAAATTCACTGGGAAGTGTCAAGAAAAATACGAATTTGCTATTGAAATATACATTTTTTATGTTGAAAACGGTAGCAGATTCGTTCCCGAAACGTCCAAAGCTAAGTAAAGATTTGATATTTTCTCTAGGTATATATACTCTTATTTCTCTTCTCCAAATCTTTTCGAATACAAATTGTCACTGACAAGCTAGTGAATTTTTCTTTTAGGCTCTCTGATAGGAAAATTCTTTAAACACTTAGTGACATTTTGGGGCAAATCATCTGATTTGTCCTTACTACACGTATATTGAAATGATTTTCATATTTTTATTTTATAGAGAGGAGAGAAAATCCCAAAAAATCTGGAATAATGAATTCTCGAAGAATATTCTATGAACGTTCTATGAATGACATTGTGCTATCTAGGCTACTATGAGTACAAGATAATCACAATACGATATCATTATGAAATGTTGGGTCCATTTCAGTCACATATTACAAATAATAGACCAAGTTTCGCCAGAACAATTTCTCATACAAGATGTTTATAGAAATGAATGTAAGTTCTCCTGTTTCTCGAAAACTAAGCTTCGTATGATCATTATCCATAGGAGCTTTTTTTCTTCAAATAAGATCTTCTATAGAATGTCAAAGTTCTGGTATAATAAAGTGGACCATCCTGTATACATCGCTATTTTTTTTAATGTCGTATCCATGCAAGTCGTACTGATAACACACAACACATCTACGAGGCATATCCATCAAATGGAACACAATACGTAATTATTTTCCTGGTGTAGTGTTCCTATTACTTGTGTAATAATAATACTATGGCAATAATTACAAAACCATTTTCCTCGTGAAAGTTATACCTACCAACTAGCGGATAAGAAACAACCAGAGCATAATATTTTAGAATACTAGAAGCGGTTTTGAAGGTGAACGAATATACACTGTCTTGTGCTATCGCGTTATGGAAACGTTAACAAAAATAATAAATATTATATGGTTTGTTTCCAAGTCAGGTACTTGCAGTACTGTCAATCAATGAGTGATAAGAAAAGTGATGTTTCAGATATATGTATTAACATAAGGTAAGTTGAAATTCGAATAATTATTCACACTATTATTACCATTTTTTCGTAATTTTTCAAATGTATAAGGGTAAAACTGCACTTATTATGCGATGTTTTTTTGGTGAAACTGCATTTAGCATGCGATGGTTTTTTTTTGAAAAATTTTTTTTGTACATATGTATTTTTGTCTGAAAAACACGAATTTGATAACGAAAATGTGAACAAACCATTATTTATCAAGATATTTCACTATAAAGTTACAAATTTCTCCTGCTTTTCCGCCTGTCTTCTGGATTGCATTTAAAACAATATTTACCCTTCTTTTTTCATCATTAGACAATTTATATACATCACAATGCAAGACACATTTTTTTCTATTATTGAGTCAACTAGAAATATGATTTACTTGTAATTTATCCATATTTAGTGAAAAGAAGAAAGAATATCATTTGAAAAAATGGCATGTGTAATGTCATTCAAAAGCACTCTGTTGACATTTGACATCTCGTATTTGGATTAACTATTAATTAAATGGCCGTCATTTGGTATGCTTGTTCACAAACTTGCCCTAAAAATTATATTTCCTGTTTGAATTTTCTGTATAAAAATGTGTCATTGAAGTACATCATGAGTATATAAAGTGTCCAATGACAAAATAAGAAGAGCAAGTACCTGTAAATGCATCCAACGCAAGGGGAAAAAGGAGTCGAAATTTCGAACTTTTTTTTAAATATCTCGATAAATTCGTGATTTTCAGACAAAAATACGTAAGTACCAAAAAAAATTTTTCGAAAAAAAACCCATCGCATGCTAAATGCAGTTTTACCGTTTTTTTATCGAACTTTTTTTTTTTGTACTTACGTATATTCGTATGAAAAACACGAATTTCACAGTGAAAATATGAACAAACGGTAAAACTGCATTCATCATGCAATGTTTTTTTTTTCGGAAATTGTTTTTGGTACTTACGTATTTTTGTCGGAGAAACACGAATTCAAGAAAAAGTTCGATATTTCGCCTTTACATTTTCAGCTACTTGCTCTTCTTATTTTGTCATTGGACACTTTATATCCTCATGATGTACCTCAATGACACATTTTTATATAGAAAATTCAACATGAAATAGTTATTTCTGTATCTAGAGCGCAAAATGCTACTTTGGTGATCGAAATCCGATTTTTTTAACGAGGCGTAGCCGAGTTAAAAAAATAGTCGAGATGAAAATATAGTTCTAAAGTAAAAATATGCTTAGCTTGATATAAAAAATTGTGTTGAATTTGATAATGAAGATGTGGACAAACCATTATTTATTATGATATTTCACTATAAAGTAGCAAATTTCACCTTCACTCGCATTTAAAACAATTTGCCCTTCTTGTTTCATCATTGAATAATTTATATATATCACAATGTACGACACATGAGTCAACTATAAATATGATTTTCTTGTGATTTATCCATATTTAGTGAAAAGTAGGAAGAATATCATTCAAAATAATGGCGTGTGTAATGCATATAATTTGGAATTTCTGGATTGACTATTGATAAAATGGCCATCATCTGGTATGCTTGTTCACTAAATATGAAAAACTCGCCATAAAAATCATATTTTCTACAAACGTCAAAAAATGACAAGGTTCGCGCATTGATAACAGATTGCGAAGTGACACTTTTTTCAGTTTCCTACGTTACCATGATACCTTGCACAAAACAATGCGCGAAGTAAAACAGTGCGCGAAGTACCTACTTCGCACATTGTTATGTGAAATATATGAGATATTTATATTTCAACTTATGGTCCTTATAATCGAGCAAACATCCACGAAATCATTTATTTCTGAATGTTCAACAATAACTTCGTTTTATCTCTTGGAGCGCACGAAAGGAAATTCCTATCATGTTCGTGGAACATCGTGCGTACCTAGGGAGGATAGGGGGAGGCCTTTTAAGCCAGTTCAACACTATTTATTATATCAAGCTAAGCATATTTTTACTTTAGAACTATATTTTCTGACGTTTGTAGAAAAAATGTTGTTTGCAACTCGAGCCCGAAATACTTTGGTCATCTCGACTATTTTTTTAACGAGGCGTAGCCGATTTCGATCACCAAAGTAGCATTTTGCGCTCTAGATACAAAAATAACTATTTCATATTGAATTTTCTATATAAAAATGTGTCATTGAGGTACATCATGAGGATATAAAGTGTCCAATGACAAAATAAGAAGAGCAAGTAGCTGAAAATGTAAAGGCGAAATATCGAACTTTTTTTTGAATTCGTGTTTTTCAGACAAAAATACGTGAGTACCAAAACAAATTTTCGATGATAAATGCAGTTTTACCGAACAAACCGCTATCAATTACTGAAACAGACGTTCAGCAATATTGCAAATGTAAATTTGTAAATGTAACGTTCCAGCAATGTCAAAGCAGCATGTTATATTGCTGCAACGCTACATTATCAAGCTTTGCCTTTGCAATATTGCTGAACGTCCTTTGCTTATGAATACTGACCTACTTTTCCGTCCATAAAAGTTTAGATGATCCTATTCGAAGGCTTCTGAATTATTTTTACAAAAATTTCCTAATAACAATGACAGTTCGAGTCGAAAAATAAACGAACTACATAATACAGGGTGTTCAATGTCCTTTCCAGATGAACCGGAAATTGAACAAATTGTCGTCTGTCGAAAAGAGCGATTTTACTTGAGTAACGTATTTTTCCTCTTGTATTGCTAGTTTTTCTGAAACATGAGCGTAAAGTTGCTTAGATGTTGGATAAATAATAAACTTTGGATGAACGTTGATTCAACCTTCTCTATCATTTCTCCTGGTGCTAGTTCCTCTTGAACACGAGAGCAATGTTGAATAAACATTCTATAAACGTTGATTAAAGGTTGCATAAACGTTAAAGGGACGTTGTATTAATGTTGAAAGAACGCTGTATGAATTTCGAATAAATAATGTATCAACGTTGAATTAACGTCGAATGAACGTTACATACAGTTTGAATAAACGACAAAGAAAACGACAAATAAACGTTAAATCAACATTGAAAATGCTTTATAAACTTTGAAAAACGTTGAATAAACATCTAGATTTCGTCTGATATCTATATGATCGAAACTATGTTTCTTGAATTTCTAAAACCTCCTTCGCTTTTGAATACGGACCTACTATCCTTCCATAACAGTTTAGATGATTTATTCGAAGGCTTCTGAATAATTTTTACAGAAATTCGCTAATAACAATGACAGTTCAAGTCGAAAAATGTACGAACTACATAATACAGAGTGTTTAATGTCCTTTCCAAATAAACCAGAAAAAATTGTCATCTGTCGAAGAGAACAATTTTACGTGAGTAACGTATCTCTCCTCTTCTATTGCTAGTTTTTCTCGAACATAAGCGTAACGTTGAATGAATGTTGAATAAAGAATAAACTATGGAACGTTGATTCAACCTCCTCCTGATGCTAGTTCCTCGTTGACACGAGAGCAATGTTGAATAAACGTTATATAAACGTTGAATTAACGTTGTATAAACGTTGAAGGGACGTTGTAGTAATAAAAACGTTGGATAAATGTTGTATTAACGTTGGATAAACGTTGAATACACATTGAATAAACGACAAATAAACGTTAATGTGTTATATAGTCCCTCTTGAACATGAGCGCCACCGTATTCCCCGAGCCTACGATCACAACCACCTCTATCAAATCAAGAACGAAGATTCCCGTACCCGCCACGCCGCCGCCAAGCCGCCGCTCTAGCATTCGCGTCCCGAACGACGGTCTGCCGCCGTCCGGTCGTAGCGATAGCCACCTCCGATCGCGCCGCCCCACCGTTCCTTCAACACTCTATTGCTAGTTTCTCTAGAACATGCGCGCAACGTTTAATAAACGTTAAATCAACATTGAAAACGCTGTATAAACTTTGAAAAACGTTGAATAAACATCTAGATTTCGTCTGATATCTTCATGATCGAAAGTATGTTTCTTGAATTTCTAAAACCTCCTTTGCTTTTGAATACGGACTTACTTTTCTTCCATAACAGTTTAGATTATCTATTTGATGGCTTCTGAATAATTTTTACAAAAATTCGCTAATAACAATGACAGTTCGAGTTGAAAAAACTGTCATCTGTCAAAAAGTCAAAAAGAGCAATTTTACTTGAGTAACGTATCTCTCCTCTTCTATTGCTAGTTTTTCTCGAACATTAGCGTAACGTTGAATAAATTTTGAACGAAGAATAAACTATGGATGAACGTTGATTCAACCTCCTCCTGATGCTAGTTCCTCGTTGACACGAGAGCAATGTTGAATAAACGTTATATAAACGTTGAATCAACGTTGTATAAACGTTGAAGGGACGCTGTAGTAATGTAAACGTTGAATAAATGTTGTATTAACGTTGGATAAGTGTTGAATACACGTTGAATAAACGACAAATAAACGTTAATGTGTTATATAGTCTCTCTTGAACATCTATCGAATCAAGAACGAAGATTCCCGTACCCGCCACGCCGCCGCCAAGCCGCCGCTCTAGCGTTCGCGTCCCGAACGACGGTCTGCCGCCGTCTGATCGTAGCGATAGCCACCACCGATCGCGAGAAGATCGATGCCGGTTCGCCGCCCCCCCCCCCCTCGTTTTTTCAACATTCTATTGCTAGTTTCTCTAGAACATGCGCGCAACGTTTAATAAACGTTAAATCAACATTGAAAACGCTGTAAAAACTTTGAAAAACGTTGAATAAACATCTAGATTCCGTCTGATATCTTCATGATAGAAACTATGTTTCTTGAATTTCTAAAACCTCCTTTGCTTTTGAATACGGACCTACTTTTCTTCCATAACAGTTTAGATGATCTATTTGAAGGTTTCTGTATAATTTTTACAAAAATTCGCTAATAACAATGACAGTTCGAGTCGGAAAATGAACGAACTACATAATAAAGAGTGTTTGATGCCCTTTCCAAATAAACCAGGAAAATTGTCATCTGTCGAAAAGAGCAATTTTACTTGAGTAACGTATCTCTCCCCTTCCATTGCTGGTTTTTCTCGAACATCAGCGTAACGTTGAATAAATGTTGAGTAAAGAATACACTTTGGATGAATGTTCCTCTTGAACACGAGAGCAAAGTTGAATACACGTTATATAAACGTTGAATAAACGTTGTATAAACGTTGCATACACGTTGAAGGAACGTTGAATTGATGTTGGAAGGACGTTGTATGAACGTTGATGAAATGTTGTATCAACGTTGAATAAACGTCGAATAAACTTTAAATGCACATTGAATAAATGACAAATAAACGTTAATGTGTTATATAGTCTCTCTTGAACATGAGCGCCACCGTATTCCCCGAGCCTACGATCACAACCACCTCTATCAAATCAAGAACGAAGATTCCCGTACCCGCCACGCCGCCGCCAAGCCGCCGCTCTAGCTTTCGCGTCCCGAACGACGGTCTGCCGCCGTCCGGTCGTAGCGATACCTACCCCCGATCGCGAGAAGATCGATGCCGGTTCGCCGCCCCACCGTTCCTTCAACATTCTATTGCTAGTTTCTCTAGAACATGCGCGCAACGTTCAATAAACGTTAAATCAACATTGAAAACGCTGTATAAACTTTGAAAAACGTTGAATAAACATCTAGATTTCGTCTGATATCTATATGATCGAAACTATGTTTCTTGAATTTCTAAAACCTCCTCTGCTTTTGAATACGGACCTACTTTCCTTCCATAACAGTTTAGATGATTTATTCGAAGGCTTCTGAATAATTTTTACAGAAATTTGCTAAAAACAATGACAGTTCAAGTCGAAAAATGAACGAACTACATTATACAGAGTGTTTAATGTCCTTTCCAAATAAGCCAGAAAAAATTGTCATCTGTCGAAGAGAACAATTTTACGTGAGTAACGTATCTCTCCTCTTCTATTGCTAGTTTTTCTCGAACATAAGCGTAACGTTGAATAAATGTTGAATAAAGAATAAGCTTTGGATGAACGTTGATTCAATCTCCTCTATCATTTTTCCTGCTGCTAGGTCCTCTTGAACACGACAGCAATGTTGAATAAACGTTATATAAACGTTGAATAAACGTTGAAGGGACGTTGAAATGATGTTGAAAGGACGTTGTATGAACGTTGAATAAATGTTGTATCAACGTTGAATAAATGTTGAATCAACGTTGAATAAAGCTCGAATAAACGTTAAATACACATTGAATAAACGTCAAATAAACTTTAATATGTTATATAGTCCCTTCTGAACATGAGCGCCACCGTATTCCCCGAGCCTACGACCACAACCACCTCCACCAAACCACCCCCCACTAGAACGAAGATTCCCGTACCCGCCACGCCGCCGCCAAGCCGCCGTTCTAGCGTCCGCGTCCCGAACGACGGTCTGCCGCCGTCCGGTCGTAGCGATAGCCACCTCCGATCGCGAGAAGATCGATGCCGGTTCGCCGCCCCCCCGTCCCCTTCTGCCGCCTCCGATGCCGGAAACAATACGCAGTGCTCGAGCGGGCCCCTGCCGAAGCGGGGGCGGTCGCTGATGGATAGAAGCCGCCGCGGGGCGGGAGATAGGCCCGAATACCTGAAATTAGGCGGCGATGGGGGGACGCTGAAAGGCAGAGAGGCGGTGAAATCGCCGGCCAGAGTGAGGAGTACGGTGAGTCAATTCGAATCGGTTATTTAGTGAATTCAAGATTGATTGATGAGAATATCCTGTAACTCATTTGATTGCCAACGTCACCAATTTTCACTGAGAAATGAAAAGTGTCAAGACGAATACGAATTTGCTGTTCAAATATCCATTTTTATGTTGAAAACGGGAGCAGATTCGTTCTCGAAACTTCCAAAGCTAAGTAGAAATTTGATGTTTTTTCTTTATACCTTTATTTCTCTTCTCCAAACCTTTTTCAAAACAAAGTGTTACTGACAAGCAAGTGAATTTTTCTTTTTGGCTCTCTGATAGGAAAATTCTTTGAACGCAGTGACATTTTTGGAGCAAATCATCTGATATTTTATGGAAACGAGGAGAGAAAATCCCAAAAAATCTGGAATAACGATTATTTAGTATTGCTGAATATTAAATTAGTGGGTCAACTGGTTAGATATTATTTAAACACGATTTTTTTTGGGTATCTACATACGAGTACATTGTTATATTAAATCAAAGAGAATAACAAAACAATATGCGGAAGATGAACGCCGCAGAAAGGCTTTTTCACTGCCCTCATCAGAAATTACACAAAGTGATCTCTGAAAGCATGACTTGTTTTTGTCATTTGATTAGAAATCTGTGTTCCTTTGTGTTTCAAAAAAAAATCTCTCAAGTGAGATTTTGGATAATTTCAAAATTGTATTAACTCATGTTCGTGAAGATATTCTTCTTGGAATAAATGAACTTTTATTTCTTGAATAAACACTGTAAATTTTTTTTTCAAGCTTTCTAGCAGAAATTTCAAGTCAAAACTCATAATAATTATTGATTGTTGACTTATAAAGAGCTCTGAGCTGAGCTTTATTGGAAAATACTCATAAGCAGAACCATAACCTCAACCTCAACCTTCCTAGAATACGTTTCTCATTGCATTTAGAAAACCCTCTATGCTATTGAAAAGTGGTCTATTATTCAATTATCCTAGTCGAAGGCTACTGAATCATTAAAAAAAAAAACACTGCTAACAATGTATGTAATATAGGGTGTCCCATTTGAAAATCGAGAGTTGATGTCCTTCCACATAAATCGGGAATTGAAAGAGTTGACATCTGTTAAAAAAATAATTTTCACCACTACAGTGCAGACTCGATAATCCGAACGTTTAATAATCCGAATTCTTCAGTAGTCCGAACAAGCATTTTCAATACATTGAGTACTCTCTATAACTATAATCCGAATTTCATAGTACTCGATAATACGAACCTATACCTTTAGGCCTATTTATTTCCTATAGAAATTGTGAGTGAAATGTTCAGGGATTCCCCTAATTGTTCTTTTGTTAGTATCTGGGATTCACATTACGCAAGGAAGAAAATAATATTCCGTTAAATGATATTCTTGTACCTCAAAGATTAAAAGAAATGGCTTTTATAAATAATCAAAGATGTGCTAAGCAAACAAAAATTACAAATTACTTTAGAAACTAGTATTATATTCTCACTTTTATGCATATTTCAGTGTTACTTTTTCGTATTTATGTTTTTTTTTGCATTTCGTGATAAAAATTAATAAAAAAAAACTGCTTCGGTAATCTGAATTTTTTGGTAGTCCGAATCGCCTTGGTTTTTATTAGTTCGGATTATCGAGTCTGCACTGTATTATGTATACAAATTCTGTGAATGCGATACTTTCAAATGCGGAATAATCATAGAGGCGAGCCAATCCTCACGAACACCCAGTATATGTATTACCTTCAAATTACCTAATTTACCATGCATCATATTACAGAGCATTGTTTAATTAAGTTAAAGTATCTTTTTTTCAGTAGATCGAATGTTGCAGCCTCGACACATTCTAATCAAGAGAGTGGTTTATTATGATATAGGGCATTTTCAGGAATAATTGTGTACCTATGTATACATATAGTGTGAATTGTGTACCAAAATTTACGAAAAAATGTGGAAACTAAAGTAGAACCCATTTGAATGGATCCACATACCCTTATCTTCGTAGTTCTTGGCTAAAAAACAATAAAAATACATGCACCATAAGGCATTTCACTGTCATATTCAGAGGTACAGGGTGTCCCCTAAAATGGTGACGAAACCGGAAATGCACTTCTTCTAAAAGTGGCCAATTATTCTAGCAATTAGGAATGTAAGGTGATGGTTTACATATAATAATCTGAGATAAGTTATTGTCTTGTGATAAATTGCCTGTAATATGATTTCGAGAATTATCTACTGCTTTTTAATCAATAATAACGCTCGAGACTATCTGAAATAATGTCTGTTTATGAATTAATTATCATTTTCATGATTCATATTGCCACCTCAGTCCTAATCTGATTGAAATCCTATCAATGATAACTTATATATAGGGACGAAACATGCGTTCCCATTAAATTCAGTTAGAACCAATGAAATCTCATTAGAATTCAATAGACCGCATTAGAAACCCATTACTTCTCATAAGATCCCGTAGGATCTTATTAAAACATATAAATCCCATTTCGATCTTACGAACGACATTCACGAATGACTGGCTTTCTATTCGATTTCAGTCTCTTTCACTGTCCACGTCGAGATCGCAAAGCAACTCAAAGTCTCCAATATCGCCAATAAATAATTCAGAAGGAAAAACCTATTCCACCAGCGGTCTGGACAATTGGGATGCGGAAAGCATCACCAGCATAGGTGAGAGTTTCACAAGGTGTTACCTACATTTTCGGATAATCGAAAAGGAGTGTTTATATCAGGGACTCTATTTATATCTACAAACTTGAGTTATTCATCTATCGCTTATTCCATTTTCAACAGTGTCAGGAAGTCATTGCTGTTGTGAATTCACTGAATTTATAGTAATATTGACACTACGATTGAGTTATCAATGTTGGTTGCATTGTAGCGGTCATTAATCATTAATATTCTGAAATTAATTGTTCCGACGTAGGTACGCATATACTATCTTAATAAAATGGCATAAAACCTAGGTACTTTCACTTTTAGTTCTGTGGGTACTTCATATGATTGACTGATGCGTCCACACGACTTTTTTCCCTGTCAATAAAAATTTGATCGAACATTTTTCAACACTTTCATTATCATTGAAATGAGTTATAAAATTGTTGATCAATTCTGGAATGACTAGATCTGACATTTAATGCATTTTGAAGCCTGCCACCACTGATATTTTCGAATAGTCATAATTTCTGAATAAAAAAAACAGGTCTGAAATAATATAATTCGAAACTAATATAATTGAATAATAGCGAATATTTTTGTATGGAAAGTAACTTGCGTCTGCGTCTGCGGATGCTGCGTCATAAAATGGAATAGATGTCAGATGTGGGAACTTTGCGTAATCTCGTATCAGTCCTATCAATGTTGCCGGATTGTGCCGTTATTGTTATTTCACAAACATTTGATTCCTTCGCCCCATCCTGTACAATAATTCACATACAGTCTTCTATTGCAACTCTCAGAAGCTTTGGTTAGGAAGATAGCAAGTCTTTCTTCCACTTGTTTCTAAGTGAACTTTTTGGTCAGTGTGTTTTTTTGCATACTTCTAAAAGAAGGGCAACTGAGAAAGTGAAATGCTTCGAGTCGAGGAATGGATTGTAATATGTATGTAATAATGTTATATACCCCCCAGACGCTACTTGGAAGGTATTGTAATTGATTGTCAAAATTTCATTCATCTCATTTTTTCTTCAGATGTTTCACTCACTCACTCTTCGAAAAGAACTGAACGTCTGATCCTTTAGGCACTCTTAATCACATCTAGAAATAGTTCTCAATGAGTTTTTGTTGACACCAAGATCTCAAATTGAATTAAGTAATGTTGCAAAATTAATCTTTGAATTGGTTAGGATATTTGAATACTTGTAGATAAAGTATAGTATTTCAATCGTGCAGTTCATCAACGTGACCCCAATAGCACACTTATGTCCCATCATGGATATCCTTAGGACGTCCTGTCGGGACATTCAGGACGTCCATAGGACGTTCGAATTTGGTACCTGGACGTCCATTGGACGTCTGTGGGACGCACAAATGTCCCACTTGAGGACCAACTAGGGACGTCCTTGAGGGATGTCCCCTAGACAACTATCGAATACCTGAATCCTACAGTATTCCTCATCAAGCAATACATAGGACATCCTTAGGACATCGATAGGACCACCTATCAGCAACGCTGAGGGATATCAATCGGATGTCCATAGGATGTCCCAGGGACGTATGGATTATTCCTGAATTTGAATTTTTCTGGGTTCCTCTAGGACCAGATCTTCTATAACTGATTAGGACATCCAGTTGAGTTGATGGTCCGTAGAAGGTCCCCAAAAAGTTTCTCAAAGATGTCCAATGGACTTACGTGAAGGAAATTGAAGAGGAGTACTCATAGTCTACGAGCAATCATTCGTCGGCGAGGTGTGTGTTGAAATGTCCTCGCAGGGACAACATATTGAAAGTACCGACTGGGACGTCCATAGGACGTTATTTCCAGGACATTGGAAGAGTACAGTTCATGTACCAATTGAGACATCCGACGGATATCCCTAAGGGACATTTCGATTGTTATACGATCCTGTAAATATTAAGGGCGTCTGTGCAGAGATATTTGAAGGAATGTACCATCAGGGACATTTCATGGTTGTCTAGAAGGGACATTATATAAGATCTGAAGTCATGCCAGAATATGTACTACTCGGGATATCCGATGGTTGTCCCTAAAGGAACTTTTAAAATCATATCCAATCAGGGACATGCCAAGGACGTTCTTGCATGGACATTCTACAATATGTGCCACGTGGGAAGTCTAAGGGATGCTATTTCTAGGACATTTGAAATGATGTACCAGCTGGGACATTCCGTGGACGTTCTTGCTCGGACATTGCATGAGATGTACGGGATGGGACGTCCCAAGGACACTTATTTTTGGTTCGGGACATTCGGACGTGAATTGTACCAAATAGGGACGTCCCTAGGACGTTGTGTGCTATTAGGAGAGTGATAACCATAATAAAATTATCATCAATCATTCAAGTAATTTATTATGTTTAAAACTTCTCAAAAGATCGCCTAAATAAATGAACTTATATGTAGCTTTGTGTTTTACAGGTAGCAGCCTGGCTTCCTGCGATCATGCAAGTGTCGCCAGAAATGGTACAACATTTTCCGGAAGAAGTATGAAGTGAGTAACAGTACAGGGTGCCTCCTTATATTTTGGCCCCTACCTACAGCTTCAACTATACGAGGTGTAAAAAAACTTCAAATATAAAAGTTGTAGGGTCACTTCTGTACGTACCTTTTGGCACTCCTTAAATGAAAAATTGCGAATCGCAAAATAAAAAAGAGTTCATATCGGTTTTTTTATGAAACATCCTGTATATATTCAACTGATGTGGAAGGTCTTTTCCATCTGTTCACAAATATATATAGTTTGCTAATGTTTCCTAAATTCTTGCGGCACTACTGAGATTTTTGCAATATTTTCATAATATATTCTATTAAAAAATGTCTGTTCTGTTTCCATGGTATTTCTGTTGTGACCAATTAAGAGTACCAAAAGATAGTACATGAGATGAAATCCTAGAAAGATTTTCCACCTCGTATAATTAAAGCTGTAGGTAGGGGTCAAAATATACGGTGACGCCCTGTACATTTCACGTAACAAGAGTTGTTAATCGTACATTATGCATGTAGTTCGAATCAGAACTAACGGCGAGTGTGCATCTGCAATCATTCTGTGATTGTTTGCTGCTACCGAATGTACGGGGTCGTTGAGCAAATATCTGGGGTACAGGGCCCCAATTCGAATAATGATACCTGTTCACTTCATTTTCAATTTTATTTAAAACTATAAACATGTTCTATTAACCGTTTAACCATGCTCATTATGACCATGTTTTTGCTTTTTTCTTCTCCACGTGAGTACAAATTTGATTTACTTTTTTTTTTTTTTCATCGAGGTGGTCGAAATCCTTTATGGACACCATATGGGTCTAATCCCCCATATGATAGTGTGTGGTCCCCTGACTCAAGGGTATACCCACTAAACACTCCACCCCGTTTGTAGGCTCGTCTGACCGAAGTCTCCGACGACACTTAGGCCTAGTGGCCCATTGTATCTTTCCTACATGCCGTTATCAATTTTTCCTACGACTACTACTGTAAGTGATGAATATTGTACACAAAACAATGGCAGTAAGCTTCTCCTTACACACGTGTGCGTAAAGAGAGCGATCGCACGGTTTTCATAGGTATGTTGATAGATGACTTTGTTTTTTTGCATAGGCGATGTGTCAATAACAATTAACTATTTCATTAATGTCAGTAGCTATGACGATGAGCAGATTATTTCTACGCCACGTGAAATGTTGGAAAAAGCTAGAATGGCTGAAAATGAGTTGCTACCCGCTAAGTCTCGTGAATGATACGAAATAGCACATTAAAAATACCTGGACTAGAGAATTAGAAAAATAATACAGTGTCGTTTTCGGAACATAACCTTATTTTAGTATATTATTCTCAAGAATTATCAAATTCGATGAAATCATCATCACCCTGGTCGATATATTCCATGTTACGATCAACACTAAATATCAATCACAATATTTATATAGCAACATATCCCATTTCCTCGAAAGGAAATCGGATGGATTCCGAAGTAAAAAATCGAAAATACTTAATGCTGAACGGATCAATTATTTTCTGCAGATTGCTCCTGTTGATGAATATCTATTCATGAAGGTAATTTTTCAAATAACATATATACTCAACATTGAATTGATGAATTCCTTTTACTTCAAATAACAGGAATAATTTTAGAAAAGATCAATTGTCGAAATCATATTTATAAAATATCTACCGATACCAAGTAATGGTGATGGCTCAGTTGTTGGAAGCGCTGGCTTCGAGTCCAAAGGTAGGTGGATCAGAGCACAGTTGGAGAACTTTTTTTTATTATTTTCAATAACGATTACAGAATCTCTCGTTCTGCACTGTTACAATAAATAACCATTATGAATGTTAAACTCATATTTTATATAATGTGTTTTTGGCTATTAATAAAGTTGTTTAGATATGAAAAACGGCTCCATTTCAGTTCGAATTGAGGAAAATGTCTCGGTATGCAATGTATCAATGAACAAATCCAAGAATTTTGATTTTTAACTCTTCATGCAGCTGGGTTAGTCACGGGAGACGTGTATATAGGTATTCGTTATTTGTGCCTTAATGCAATATCTGCACTATCCGTAAGAAAATATAGTGTAGTCGTAGAAAAAGTATAGTACAATTCTCGAGTTGTAAAGCAATTACGCACTTGTGGAGTTACACACTCGCCGCTATGCGGCATCGTGTGTAACTCTCTCCACTTCGTGCGTAATATGCGTTTTACAACTCTTGTTATGTAATATACTATTACCATGTACGACTCATGGTGCTTATTAAGAGCCACTTCAATATGAAAGACCCTTTTCGTCTACGAAGAAGGCCAAAAGTTTTCCTTCTCCTACGAGTGACGGGGGAAGGGGTTGGTCCAGCCCTGTGCTGCCCCCTGCACAAGGCTAAGGCAACTTACTCTGAGATGTCGTCCTGTTTCCCAGAGGCCCTGTTAGCGACACCATACCTCGGTGCCATTCATCCATCACCACGGGTTCCCAGAGCTTGGATTAGGTTGCCAGAGCCTCGTTGAGCAGTCCTCGGCCACCTAGACAGACATCAGCAAATCGCCCCATCCCTGCCACAGATGTCCACAAATTGTCCCATCTAGCAAAGAGATAGCAAAGATGGTCCCAAAATGCTTCATCCGTCGAGCGGCCTAGGTCTGTCCTCCCCACACCATTTGATGGTGATCGAGGTTGGGCTTGGAGGGGAGGAGGAAAAGAGAAGTTGGCCAAGAAAGGCCGATAGATAGATTGAAAAGAAGGAAGAGAGAAGAGGATATCTACCAAGACAAGTTGAAGTATGGTGAATATCCGGCTAGGGTACCTCGGGTTCACCATTCCCGTACTCACATACCACCAAACAACTACTTACTGTTTCGTTGTTTTTTGTAAAATAATTTCTTTCTGGCTGATGATGGATACCTTCTGGGTCCGAAACATGCCACCCCCCCCCCCTTCTTGAATTTAAACGTTGTGGAGACGACTTGGAAAGTTTTTATTATATTTTAAATATGAAATTAAAAAAATAGTTCTCTCGCCTATTCGAGTTTTGCACTATGATTGATAGATTCTTGAATATTTTCTAGGTACATTTTCCATTGTAACCAACAGGCGGGATCGACGGGAGAAGATTACTTGACCCCAACACAGAGGGCACACAGACAGGTCAAGAAACTCAAATACTTGTTGCATCAGGCCACCAAAGAGGTCGAGGAGCGCGACAGCGACATTTTGAAACTTACCAAAGAAGTGGTCGAACTGAGGTTGTATAAGGCTGCATTAGGTTCCCCAGAGGACAAATCGAATTCTAGTAGGTCAGTAAAGTTCTGCCAGGTTCGTCCGTTGAAACTTGGATCTTACGCCAGTCAAAATCGACACAAAAAATCGCCAAATTCGCAAAACATGATGTATCTCTGATTTTTCAGTATGTTGTTTGGACCCATTAGTTTAGTGTATACCCAAGTTTGCAACTCTCAAAAATATGTGGAAAAAGTTTAGCACACGAAAAACGGCGAAATTTTCGGACTTTTTTCAGTTTTTGCTCTTTATCTCCCAAACAAAAAATGTGCTATACGTTTTCGAAGAGAATTGAATGTTCAACAATTTGAGTCTAAGCAGAGCTCTGTAAGTTGACTATCAACGGAACTACAGTACTTTGAATATAGCCCATTTTTTTCTCAAATGTACTGTGATGTGTGCTACCTGCTCTGAGGAAACGTGCCAGAACGCTGCCCTTATCATCATCGGAGAGGATGACGATGACGAGAGTCAAGACAACCATGACGCTCCACCAATGATGGCGTACTCACCTATGGAGGAGGACGACGACGACGACGATCCACATATAGTGTGGGACCTACCCGTCAAAGAGACCATCGAAAGTGAAGGCCCAGGGCCATCAAAAACCAGGCGACGATTTTGAGTATGTTTGATTGAATGATTGATCACTGTTATTTTGATTACTTATGTTCTTATTGGGATACATTTCATCATTTTTTTTATAACCACACCAAAAAACAAGATAGGAAAGGTTTTGGAACATTTCTGGAGATATGCGATTCTATCTGATATTGGTTTCTTCGATATTCTGAGCGAACTACGAGTCCTAAAGACCCCGCTATGAGCTTAATTTGAAGCTGATGGAATGGCCTACAACTTTCGAACCATAAATTCTACTCGTAGTATCAATGGTTTAGCCGCAATTTTGGTCTAAAGTAGGTCCAGAACTATAATTTTCACAAATACTGTCTGTAGGTTAATCGAGGAGGTGGTACATTCATTATTCCAAATTTTTTGGGATTTTCTCTCCTCGTTTCTATAAAATAAAAATATGAATATTATTTCAATATACGTGTAGTAAGGACAAATCTGATGATTTGCCCCAAAATGTCACTGCGTTTAAAGAATTTTCCTATCAGAGAGCGTAAAAGAAAAATTCACTAGCTTGTCAGTGACAATTTGTATTGAAAAAATTTTGGGGAAGAGAAATAAAGGTATATAGAAAAAATATCAAATTTTCACTTATCTTTGGACGTTTCGGGACCGGTTCTGCTCCCGTTTTCAACATGAAAAAAGATTATTTCAAAGCGAAGTCGTATAATGTGTCATGAAGCTTTTCAGTTTTCAATGACAATTGGTGACGTTGGCAATCAAATGAGTTACAGGATGTTTTCATTAATAATCTCTTTTCATGTTGAAAACAGGAGCAGAACCGGTCCCGAAACGTCCAAAGATAAGTGAAAATTTGATATTTTTTCTATATACCTTTATTTCTCTTCTCCAAAATTTTTTCAATACAAATTGTCACTGACAAGCTAGTGAATTTTTCTTTTACGCTCTCTGATAGGAAAATTCTTTAAACGCAGTGACATTTTGGGGCAAATCATCTGATTTGTCCTTACTACACGTATATTGAAATAATATTCATATTTTTATTTTATAGAAACGAGGAGAGAAAATCCCAAAAAATTTGGAACAATGAATATAATTTTCACTTTCTGAAAAAAATTGCCTATATTCAAAGTACCGTAGTTTTGTTAATATTCAACCTACAGAGCTCCGCTTGAATTGGAATTGTTGAACATTCGATGTTCTTCAAAAACGTATATAACATTTTCTGTCGAAAAACTCATAGTTTGGGAGATAAGGAGTAAAGACTGAAAAAAGTCCGAAAATTTCGCAGTTTTTTGTGTGCTACACTTTTTCCACAACTTTTTGAGAGTTGCATACTTGGGTATACACTACCCTAATGGATCCGCACAACATACTAGAAAATCAGAGATACATCATGTTTTGTTTATTTATTGTCGATTTTGACTGGCGTATATCTGTCATTTGGGAGCTGATTATTCGTTTACTATTTTTTTCCTTCTAGAATTGATCAATCAATCAATCAACTTCATTATTCCCAAGAAACAACATTTGTTTATAGCATGGAACATGGTGGATATACAGGGTGGCATTGAAATAAGTGCAAATATTTCAAACACTGAGAAAGTTCGACGTGTACTATCGAATGGCACTAATAAAAAAAATTTAGGGATCAAAATAGAATTTGAGGTTCCACCCAAAGTTCTACACTGTAGCAAATCTGACGTCACCTCTGTTCGATTTTCAATGTGGTAGGCACAATCACACGTACTTGATTTTTTTCTCGTATTTTGTTCAATTTTTGGGATGTTTCTCGTTAATTATAAGAATTTAAAAAAAAATGGATATCATGGGAATATTCCTTAGATTATATATCATATTATTGTGCTGAATATGTGCACAAACACCTTGTATAAATATATTTGACAAAATGAAGGAGACGACAGTAAAAGTTCAACTGAAAAGCTGTTAGTTACCCAATGGAAAACTGTAGTACTTGTACGAGAAAACTATAAAAATGAGATAAGATGTCAATATTACAGGAGTACATATTTCTTGAATTCCTTTTTGAAATGTTCAATCCTATTAATCAGTTTCAAGCTATTTGGTAGGTAGTGAATTGTATTGTATCATTCTATTGTGATAGATGGATTTAATAATCTGATTTAATTTTCTTGAAAGAAAAATGATCTGCTTGTCTAGTTGTATGCTTGTGGTGAATATAAACTATTGATTAGGAAAACAAAATTTGAATGCTATGTGTTTCTCTGAAATAGGGCAGGTCCAGTTAGGGGTGCCTCAGGGGTCCGTATTAGGGCCTATATAATTTTTGTTTTACATCAATAATTTCGAATTTGAAATAATAATAGGGATTTCCTTTCGTGCTATCTAAAGATGAAAAAAATAACCAAAATAACCAATTCTACCCACACGGGCGTGTTTTTCATTCCAACAACTTGTCATGAGCATGAATCCAAGAAACTATCGTACTGTTTGCCGTTGGAATATTGATGGAAATCTATAAAACTGCGCGGATTCAATTTGCTTTGAGAGAGTTCAGCCGATTTGGAGGAGATTAACATGACAATTGACACATTGTTAGTATTGCTCTTAGTATTGATTAGATATACAGGGTGTTTCATAATTGAATGTCAATATTCGAGAAGGCGATTCTTGGGCCCATCCTAAGAAGAAAGTTTCATATGAACGTATGACCTAAACGTCCTAACTTTTGAGATACAGGGTGATAAAGTTCTCAAAAATTTATATAGCCTACTACAATGAAAAGTTATAATTCCAAAATACCAAATACGAATACGAAGTTCATAAACTATGAATTGTATTTCTGAAATTTGATCTAATAAATAAAATTTCTCTGCATGTTGATATTGTTATATTAACGAAATTGTAGTGAAAAGCTTTTCATTTTTTTATGTGAAACCCGTGCATCAGATTGAAAAAATTGTAATGATCAAATTTGCTCAGAAATGATTGGGAATTTCAGGAATGATTTCAATTTCGAGATAAATCAGTGGCGTCCATCAATGTCTTCAAAATAGGTATGTGAAATTCCATATTCCATACGAACGCCACTGGTGGCAACCAAAAAAATGTGGTACACTAACTGATGCCTCTTGATACATACTACATGTATGCCAAATTTCATTAGAATATCTGAAGTGGTTTTACAGATATTAATCAAAAACTGTTAATTTTTGAGAACTTTACCACCCTGTATCTCACAAATTAGGACTTTTAGGTCATACGTTCATATGAAACTTTCTTCTTAGAATGGGCCCAAAAATCGCCTCCCCAAATATTGACATTCAATTATGAAACACCCTGTATAGAGAACAAGAAATATATTGATGATTTTTGAGATTCTTGAGAGAATTTAGAGATGGAGTTAGTGTTAATCAATAAAATTGTATCAGACTCTTCTGATTCTGAAAATACATGACAGACTGACAGACAATAACGAAATCCGTTTGTCCATCAATTTGTTGTATATTGCATTGTTCAATCGGTTCCATCAGAAAATTGGTGACGTCACGACAAAAAAGCCCATCAATCAGTGATTGTGACTATTTTTCACTGTCAATTGCATTTTCAGTGAAGAAATAACTGTGAGAGAAAAAAGAAGTGCCGACGTAACGCCTGGTGATGATAGTGTAGTTAGGAACGAATTCAATAATTATTCTTATGCTGATTCCGGCCATTTCGAAGATTTCACTACTTCCTCCGTTCATTCCAAAGAATCAGATGAACAGAAATCGGTGAGTACAGGAAAACCAAACGAACCAGTTTAAAGTTCGTTAGATTATACTCAATACAATTCCTTCACTAGTGCATACACGAACATGTACTGTGTAGGACTTGTTACTAACTACACAGGTCATCTCTTTCCTTTTTGTTATTCCAGCCCTCTTCCTTTCCTAAAACGGAAACTTGCGAAAGGGCGACATCGACGGAATATTTGGGAGAAATCAGTGAAGCCGAATATAAACAATTGATGAAGGAGTACGAGAGGAGAATCCAAGAATTAGTTAGGACGCACGAAGAAGAATCATTACAAATGAAACAGAAGCATAATGACAGAGTCGAGGAACTACTAGAAAGAATAACAGATATTAATACAAGGTTAGACCATCTAGGTACCTGTTATAGCTATAGCATTCCCATTTGAAAAAAATCTCCATAGGAAATAATATGAGGTTCACACTGTAATATATACTCTTTCAAGGTCATTCAAGCTAATCAGCCACTTCTCGGGTTTGGACGTTTTTGTGCCGTTATTGTGACACTTTTGATGCTTTGACAAACGCGTGACAAACCCATGACATTTATGAGACAAGAATGTCTAGGAAACGCTTCAAAAAAGCCACAAAAACGTAACGAAAACGTTACAAAAGAGTCAGAGAAACGCCACAGTATCAAAAACGGCACAAAAACGTCAGTCCCGAATTATTTGTGTGCTCAATGAGAACAAATCGAATAACCGCAATTGGCCATTTCATGTAAATATGAGCCGTCGGCCATTCATTCAGCTATTACCATATAGCTCGGTATAACACACTTGGCGGAGTTGCTAGGTGATATTTTTTACCAACACATTGATGAAATAGAGATTTATTTCATCAATATCATCACCATTCCATTTCCATGAATTCTAGTGACATGTTGTTAATGATGTGAATAATCTTTTTTTTTTCTGTGACAGGAAAAAAGTTTGGCATTTCATCTCTGTTGGCAGGTCATAAAATGTCACTTTTCATAAATTACTTTTTTCCCGTGGGAAAAAAGTGAGTACTTTTTTCCCGGATATATATCACATATACAGGGTGTCCCGAAATTAGCCTGCCAAACTTCACCAGCGGCTTTTACTACCAAAAATAAAAAGAAAACTTTCAATGAACATGAGTCGAGAAACGTCTCCTAAGGGAGCTACGGCCCCCTGGAAGGGGGCTCCTGAAGATGATATTCCTTGAATATTTCTGAAACTCCATGTAATAAAAAGATGCAATTTGGTACAAGAACTAAAATGTCCATGCCGAATGCAGTAAAAATGAAATTATTTCAAAATTTCAATCAGGAGTGTATAATACAGGGTGGGACTACATTAAATATTGCTCAAAATTGTTTGTTTGCATATTTTTCGACAATTCAATCTCTGATTATGAAATTTCACACCTATTTACAGAAAAAAGGTACTCTTGTTCCATGACGATCAGATGTATTATTATCGAGTAAAAGCAATTTGAAAGTATTGTTACATCTCAGATATCATGCCTAACATTGCAATGAGGCGTAGTGAAAATGGAAAAAAATGCACAAAAATTGAAGTAGTAATTTCATCATTATTTTTCTATTTTCTGCGCTTTCATGAGATTGTATGGTAAAAAGAGAGTACTTGATTTTTTTAAAGCCGCTATGATTTGAAAATTGACAACGTTATGCATAAGATGTGAGAGCATCAATATTTTTAAATCGATTTCTCTCGAAGATGATACATCTGATCGCTGCGGAACAAGAGTACCTTTTTTTTGTGGAATGGTGTGAATTTTCATAATCCGAGATTGAATTGTCAAAAAATATGCATACGAAAAAGTTTGAGCAATATTTGATGTAGTCCCACCCTGTATTATACACTCCTGGATGAAACTTTGAAATTATTTTATGTTCACCGCATTGGGCATGGTGAGGTTACTTCTTGTACCAAATTGCATCATTTTATCACGTGACGTTCCGAAAATATTCAAGAAATATCATCTTCAGGAGCCCCCTTTCAGGGAGCCGTAGCTCCCTTGGGAGACATTTCTCGACTCATGTCCATTGGAACTTTTGTTTTCATTTTTGGTCGAAGAAGCCGCTGGTCAAGTTTGGCAGGCTAATTACGGGACACCCTGTATATACACTGTTGATGGCTTTTGTTGTGCTATAGTTCCGAAAAATGAGTCAATAATACCGTCTCCGAGAAAGAACTGCAAGTCCTTATCTTCGATTCGACTTCGCGGCTACGTATATAACTAAACAACCACTAAATTCGCAATTTTTTGAAATCAAATCATAGAATGAGACTGACAGAAGTGACATCAAATATTTGATTACTTCAAAAGAATGATAAAGATGCCTATAGAACGCAGGTGTCCCTACTGTTAAAAACTTAAAATTTCACGTCGATAATTTTCAGATTTCAGAATAAAGTAACATTTCCTCAATATTGATTCGTTCTTCGTCACAGAAAAAAATAGTGTATTATACACGGGAAAAATATTAGATTTTAGCTTTTTTCCCTTGTATAATAAATAACTATTTTTGTTCTTCATAACTATAACATTCTCAGGTACTGGCAACTGGTTCCTGAACTGGAAACAGCCAAAGAGAGAATAAAAGAACTGGAGCAGCGTTTAGAAGAAGCCAGCAAGAATCTGGATGAGAATGACGGTGATGTAACTGATACAAATCAAGGGCAATCATCTGGAGCGTTGTATGATAGAACTAAGGTGAACATACAGACTTATAAATTCTCCCTTTTGTTCGTTTATATTCATTGTATACATGCGTATCACATTTCTGAATTTTACGTATTATTTTGGAACAATTCGTGCCATGTCCCTATGTGATTTTCAACAGAGTTATATCTCAAAGGACGGAAGAAATGCTCGAAGTCATCTCCACAAATTTTAATGATGTTGTTACATACTTGAGTTGGGTGGCGGAAATTTGATCGAAAGACAAATGATAGAAAAACATTTGATAGAAGTCTTTCGATCAAAAATCAAAAAATAGAAAGAAATTTTCACCGAAAATACTTTTGATCGAATGTTTTATGATAAAAAATCATTTGATAGAAACATAACTGTTCAAGTTCAGTCAGTTCGTTTGTGAAGATATGATCCTTCCTCATATATTTGAGAAGAAGGAGCTTGAAGTTTGTGATATCAATAAATTCATAAGCTTCGATTTCCATCTAGCTCCTTCTTCTCAAATAAATGAATAAGGATCATATCTTCACAAACGTACTGACCTAACTTGAGCGTAGCCCCAATTTTCTATCGAATGCTGTTTCTATCAGGTGTATTTTCTTATTTTCTATCAAATATTTTTCCTATCAATTGTATTTTCTATCATAAAACATATTCGATCAAATGCATTTCTATCAAACACACTTTCGATCAAAAGACTTCTATCAAATGTTTTTCTATCATTTGTCTCGATCAAATTTCCGCCAACCACATGAGTTATGTCTGATATAGGACAACTGAACCAACTTTTTCCCTTTCAGATAATCGAATTGGCTCACCAAAATTCTACACGAGTATCTGTCCCAGAATTGTTGATGGAGCTGCAGGTGACCAAGAATGAGTTAGAAAATATAAAAGTGAGTATTTTTCGCTATTCTAGGAAATTTTTGATCCAATAGATCTTTTGAGAAAAACCTTATAAATAGTTTTTCAAGGTCTTCTACCGTTCCCATATTTTCCAGCGACCCTGTACACACGGTGTTCTCAAAGGAGAAAGGAGGAAAGGGAAGACGCAGAATTGTAAAAATTGAAAGTGGTGATTTGATATTGACAATTTCAAACACAGAATGAAAAACATTTTTGAATGACAATCAATCATATGAAAAATGCGGCTCGACACCCAAAAATGACCTAATAATGAGAAATCAGAAATCACATAACTTCAAATAACAATGCAAAAACATTTCGATTGTTGATACAAATAATGATGGAAGTAAGATATGGTGTGCGTATTCGGCCATTATTACATATTGAAAATTTCAGAAAAATCACTCGACCGGCCTACTATGATTTCTCTACGTCACAACGAGCGAGACATTGAATCTACATTTTCTCGCTAGATGGTGATGCTGCTATTGCTGCTGTGACGAGTGGAAATAAAATGGCAAATGCCATTTTAGGTACGCGGAACATATGTATCAGTGGGATTAAACAACTCTGAATTTGAAAAATCTGCGACAACTTCAAAACCGACAGAAGTCATAATTGTGCAATGTCGCCATCTATTAGAAGATCAACGAAACCATTGCTCTCGCCGAGGCTCTCGCTGCTCTCGAGAGGTCGAGTAAAATTTCTGAAACAAAAGCGCATCAGTAATTACACCATATCCTACTTCCATCATTATACAAATACACGCGAAACGGTCATAAGAACAGCCAATAAATAAAAAAGAAGATGAACTGTTTGTGCTAAAAATGAGTAGAAGACGAACCAAACTTGTGTCAAGGTAATGAGTACAGAACCGGCTCTAGCGCAGGAAACTGTAGTGAAAATTAACAGAAATGTAAAGTACGAAAAATATGATTACGATCGAAATTAGTCTGGTCATTTGAATAATAATTGATATCCGGGTTATCATTACATTTTTGAATTTCTGAAATCTCAAGAAGGTTTAATCGTGGACCCTTATTACGAACATGAATAATTTCCATATCAGAATTAACATTAAAACTATAATTTGAATCAATAATATGGTTGGCAAAAGAGGATGTTGTATTAGTATTTTCTGAATTGAGAAATTTGTGGATCAATCTATTGTGTTCCGAGGCACGAGTCTCAAAACTCCTATCTGTCTGACCAATGTCCCAGCGAGCACAAAAACATCTCAGATATGTTAAAAGTACGAGATTTCGAGACATTGAACCTCCACTGCGATGTTCTGTTCACACATGAATAGAACTATTATAGAACAGCCAATGTCCGCCGCAGGCGGCAATTATCGAGATGTCCTTGATATGTCACAAAACTACCTTCTCCCTAGTTCTTCTTAAAGCCTTTTCATGGACACAACAGAACATTTTCAACGCGTCTTGCGCACATTAAATCGCTGTAAAAAAAACATTTTCGAGGTACTTTTCTGAAGCCTCTTGTCAAGATGAACTTTTGCATTAGGATTCCATTTCCCTTGAATGAAAAAATGCATTAAAAATAGATTGAACATAAAAATATTTTCTTGATATGAAATTACCTTCTTAATCGGTTTATGAGTAGTGCTTACTACACACAGACATATGATTGGAAATATGTTTCCCAATTTTTGAAATGTTCTCCACAATGCATAATTCTGCAACTGATGCGGAGATGCTGTGTATTGATGAATTCGTACTTTCATATATTGATTATACTGAGGCACCGAACAACACATCTTGCATCTGATGGTCATTATTACAAACTAAATAAGTCTTCTAACACAATAAACTTCACCAAATTCCTTTCTGTTCGTTAGCAGCGTGATGTAAGCGTGACACGCTGCAAACGCGAATGCCAATTGCAAACAAGAAGAACAAAATCGAAAACATATCAGAATTCATCGTATGGTGACGTAAGCATGAGACCTTGTGGTGGGGCAAACAAAGAAAGGGCACAAAAGAACAAAAACAATACTTTCAATATCCTTCTAAGACCTCTTTGGGAAGTGCATATTACGCCTCAAAAAAACATCCTCATGCCTACATTTCTAAAACGTCCCAAAACATTCCAGGGATACCTCTCAGTAGGCAAACACAGAAATGCCACAGAAGAACAAAAACAATACTTCAATATCCTTCAAAGACCTCTTTGGTCAGTGCATATTACGTCTCAAAATAACATCTTCATGCCAACATTTTCAAAACATCCCAAAACATCCCAGGGATGTTTGTGCTCGCTGGGGTAGGATCCTAATTTTAGTTCGTTTTTTTCTCCTGTTTAAAAATACTGGACCACTTTTGAGAATGGATGGTTTTCAGAATAGTGTGAACAGTTCAACAAGGATTTTCGATGGGCATTATTAATTCTAGTAATGTATTTTTCAGTATGATCTCAGTAATTGTTCGCTCTATTATGAACCTTTCGAACAATAAAATTCACAAACATTCATGGTGTCGGGAAATCTCTTGAAGGACATATTTCCAAGTTCATTGTATAGAACAGAAACCGAGGTCGACTCATACTTTTTACATGCGCATATACTATCCCACCTCTGAGAACACCCTGTAATAAGGTGAAATATAGTATGAATAGGTTAGGATAGCCTGAAATGTGGACAACACAGACGCATGTTTATCATCACACAAATCGATTTCGGCAAAATTAGTCCTTGATTTCTGATTTTGCAGGATGTAGAGTATGCATCATCTTCTAAAAATTCACAGCCTCTACTGAGCGCCAAAGAGGCTCTATCACTTTGGGTACTTGGTGCAAGGAAGGTAAAAGATATTTCAACAGCACCACTTTCTTGTTTGCACTATTATTTTGTAGATTATGCGTGAAAACGAATTGATTTTGAATTGATCGGCTTATTAGAAGATTGATATGCATGTTTCAATATCCTCCACTGCAATATTTTGATTAGAAAAAATATACAGTATGGTGCAAATGAATAAGGGAATAAATTAATTTCTAGTCAAACTGACCATTTTTGAGAAATTCTCTGGAACACGTCGATTTTTATTTTCAATTTTCCACATTCGCATAAGTAAAAATTGAATGATCAGGTTGATCCACGATTTGAGTTCTGACGTCCACTACAATTTTATCGAATGGAACATCCTATATATTATTAAATTTTTAGACTCTCCATAAAAAGCTGAATTCAAAAATATATTACACATAGGGTTGTATGCACTGCGTCCGTTGAATTGAGTGCACTTGTGAAGTAGTGGATACATTCATTTTTAGCTGAACTATACCTATCCCAAGGTGGATAGAATATGGTGTTATCACAGACAATGTTTTGTTTCTCCCAAAATGCTTGACCACAGATTCCGCAATAATGGCATATCTCAGTTGTCCGCAAGATGGAGACACTTTTTACAGGATTCTTTCATGACAGAAAACAGAAAACGATGCTTACACACCGCTTGCACCAGAAATATTAATATCATAACATTCATAACATAACCTCGAATAGAATGAGATTAAATTTGAAAGTACGAAACTGTAATTTTGGGGAATTTTAATTATCATCAGTTCTACCAACCTTGAATTTTGGTTGAGATTTCGCAATCTAACGGGTAAACTGCGACCTATATTCCGCGATATTGAAAATAATCCATCTATCAAGTAGGCCGTAGGTCAAGAATTTTGACCAAAAAACAGTAGATGGGATTTGATAGGAGTTTCTACACCATCTTCTGTTCATCCTGACCTATCCATTTTTAAGAAATCTCCTGAAATAGGATGATTTTAATTTTCAATTTGCCACATCAATAAGGACGAATCAAATATACACGTTTCATCTATGACGTCCGCGACAATTTTACAAACGATAGCACTCTGAATATTATTGAATTTTTTTAATCTCTATGAGGAACTGGATTCCAAATTATATCACACATGGGGGTTGTATACAGGGTGTTTCAGTTTTTTGTAGCAGGACTTTAACGCAGCTTGAAGAAGAGATTTTTTCCTGCTACAAAAAACTGAAACACCCTGTATACAGTGCTTCCATTAAAATCAGTGCTCTCATAAAATGGGGTCGCACTGTATACGAAATCTATGTGTAATATATTTTGGAATTCAGCTTTCATGGAGATTTCAAGAGAAGTATATAGGGTGTTCTATGTTTGAAAAAATTATCGCGGACGTCAGAATAATTCGAACGTGGATCGCTCTGTCTATTCAATTTCTATGTATAAAAGTGGAAGATTGGGAATAAAAATCGATCTGTTCCAGGAAATTCCTCAGAAATGTGTAGTTTTGCTATACATTGAATTGCATAATATATATAGGGTGTTCCATTTGATAAAATTCTCGCGGACGTATCAGAACTCAAACGTGTGGATCACCCTGTATATTCAAGGTTCACTCATAAATGTGGAACAATGGAAACATATAAAAATCGACCTGTTTCAGGATATTTCTCAAAAATGGACAGTTTGGCTAGAAATGCATTCATTCCTTTCATTAGCACGATATACTGTATATTATACAGTCTGTCCAAGATAAGGTTGAACAGCATGGGGATCTCGGAAACGGTAGGAGATACAAAGTCGTTTATATAGGGAAAAAGTTGCGCATCCTGAGGCTCATATCAAGAGCCTGCGAAAATTCCGAAAATTATTTTTAGTTTTTGAGTTATATCGAAAAAAGTGAATTTTTGGAATATCTATTTTATTTTTTTTCTCCGTTATTATTAGAGATACAGAAAAACTGAAAAAACTTTCTCGAAGCAACTTTTGATGACGTTCAACGTGGTGATACCGATTTTTTCATGCAACTTTTCGTATTCGTGGAATCATCATCAACTTTTGTTTTTTAAATACGGTCCTGATAATTTTTTCACAGATTCTGTAAGGTTTTTTTATTCTGAATTCAACCATGTATTATACAAGGTGATTTATATGTGTTGCGACCAATTTTTAGCCATCATCGATGTTGTTTCGAAATTCCGAAGGAAAATTGCCATCAGTTCCACTTATTTTGAAGGAAAATTAGTCAACACACTAATACCTCATCAACTGGTTTCAATCAACAACCCATTTCATTTGCGGAAACAAAAATGCCATCCATACAAATTCAGAATATGTCGGAATATGTCAAGCGCTAAAACCAGGCGATGACGAAAGGCGCAGGACATTCTGTGAGTGGTATACCTGGAAATGTCAGAATTTTGCAGATTTCCCTCGAACAATCATCTGGACTGATGAAAGCATGGTCACTAATCATGGTATCTTCGATAGAAAGAATACACATTATTTTTCACGAGAAAATGAAGATTTATTCATTACAGCGAGACACCAACACCGTTTCGGCTTCAATATTTGGTACCCGAATTATTGGTCTTTCTATTTACCATGAAACACAGACTTCCGAACGATATAGAAATTTACTTGAGAATCATCTTTAGGAAGCTCTGGATGATTTACCGATTGCGGAAGTTCAAAACTGTTGGTTTCAAGAAGATGGCGCTCCGGTACATAATTCCAGAGAAGTCCGTGCGTTTTTATCCATAAAAATGGATTGGTACTCATTCTACAGTCCCTTGGCCGGCGCGGTCGCCTGATCTGACAGCTGGATTTTTTCAAACTTTGTATACGCAAATAACTTTGATGATGAAGAAGAACTAAGGGACAGTGTCTTCGAAGCATTCAATATAGAATAACCCCAGAAATGTTTCGAAATGTCTTAGAAGCAACTGTGAGAAGAGGATATCTTTGTTCAGAAAATAATGGTTATCATTTTGAACATTTGTTATGAATTAAGCGCTGCATTGACCGAATGATGATAGTGAAATATTTTTTATTCCCTTTTCAGTATCGAATAACTAACCCATCAAGATTGACACTAAATGATCAGAAATAAGTGGAACTGATGGCTTTTTTACTTTGGAAGTTCGAAAAAACATTGATGATGGATAGAAATAGGTCGAATAACATTCGAATCACCTTGTTTAATTCATGGTTGAATTCAGAATGAGAAAACCTTTCAGAATCTGTGAAAAAATTATCAGGACCGTTTATAAAAAACAAAAGTTGAAGATGGTTCTACGGATACGAAATATCGCATAAAAAAATCGGTGTCACCACGTTAAACGTCATCAAAAGTTGCTATGAAAAAGTATTTTCAGTTTTTCTATATTTCTAATAATAACGGAGAAACAAAATAAAATAGATATTCAAAAAATTCACTTTTTTCGATATAACTCACAAACTAAAAATAATATTTGAAATTTTCGAAGGCTCTTGATATGAGCCTCCGAATGCGCAACTTTTTTCCCATTTAAACGTTTTCGTATCTCCTACCGTTTCCGAGATCCCCATGCTGTTCAACCTTATCTTGGACAGACTGTATACAGGCTGACTCACGGTGAATGGTACATTAGACGTTTCCGGAGAACGCAACGTAGGATTGTTTTGAAAATTTGGTTCCTGCGATAATTAGTTGTTTTCTTGTTGTGTTCTATCTATGGACCTGAAATATTCTCAGCGCTTATAATGAAAAGTAGCAACGACTTTGATTTTTTGAATGAGACACCATGTATATCATTCCGTTTTCAGATTCTCCCTGAAGACCTGATTTCATCGATTCATCACACTTGGGGTCTAGCGGGAATGATAATAAAGATATAGGGTGTGAAAAATCGAGATTTTTCAACTTTAAGATTTTTAGTGTCGATTTCCATGTCCCTATCTCAACTTTTCACGCACTATCAATTGATATTTAATTGAAATAGATACAGGGTGGTCAAAAATCTTAATTCTGTACCACCCTGTATTTATTTCAATTAAATATCAATTGATAGTGAATCAAATGTTGGAATGGGGACGTGAAAACTCTTTTGACCAACTATGAATAGTTTCGAGTATTAATCTTCTCCTGAAGATGCTAACATAGTTAGCGAAACACGTGTCGGTTTGGTTAGTGGTAAAACAGTGTAGTGTACAAAAAATTCATACAGTTGAAACATCTCGATTTTTCACATCCTATAACTCTGTAATTATTACTGCTAGACCCCAATGAAATCAGCTCTTAAGGGAGAATCTGAAAATGGAATAATATACAGGGTGTCCCATTTAGAAAATCAAAGTTGTTGCTACTTCTCAATATAAGCGGCAACGTCGTAATCCTGAGAATATTTTAGGTCGATAGAACACAACTAGGTACTTATTCAAGGCACCAACTTTTCAGAATAATCCTGAGTTGCGTTCCCCAGAAACGTCTAATGTGCCATCCACCGTGAATCAGCCTGTATACAGTGTGTCCATTTAGTGCGTAATTCTTCGATATCTCCAAAGCCATAACCTAAAGAAATAAACTTTGAAGGAAAAACTTCTTCAGTTACTCAAGTTGCTTATTTCAAAAATATTTTCAACATTACTGGGTGTTTTATAAAAGCGGGATGACTCGGAGACGAGTTTTTTTAAATGGAACACCCTGTATTGTTTATTCGGAATTTATTGCGCCGAGGTTTACCTTCACATCGCTGTGAAAAAAATTGAAATCGGTTACGGCGTTGCCAAGTTATAATTGATAAATCTATTTTTACCACTATTGAAGAGTCATGTTGAATTGGGCATGGTATATTCATTTATTCAAATTATGAAAATATTTTTGGCATACGGTAGTAGCAAGGTCTCACGTATACAAATTCCGTCATTTTGCGACATGTTCTTTAACAGGGTGCTCTATTTCGCATTTAGAATTCCGCAAGATTCAGATGGCATTCATTAGAATTTTTCAAATGGAACACCCTGTATTTTTTTTCACAAATTTATTCCGACATCTTTCACCTTTTTATCGCTGAAGAAAAATCATAATCGGCTGCGGCGTTGTCAAGTTATGGATAATTTCCTGATTTTCACTATACTATTTCGGACTATAATTTTTACGTCATAGTTCTTTCATTCAAATAATCAAATTTCTTCATTGACCATTCATATATTTTTTTTACAATAGCAACATTTGCACGCGCTCCAAGTTTGAATTTAAAACAGAGTGGATTTGACAAATTGATCCAAAATGCTACTTTCACAGATTTTTTGCAGACAACGAATTGATTTTTCGAAGTACACTTCCATTATTCGTGTAATGACCTGTCAAACATCGTCACAATCAAATATATCTTGAATTTATTTAAAATTTTGCTGAATTCCCTCCCGAAACCCGCGTAGTAAAGAAATATTGTTTGTATCATTATGTAGAGTTTGCCTCCTTCAAGTTTGATGGAGATTTGGTTTGTGGGAATAACGACAATAAAAGTGGTCCAAATTTTAAAAAATTTTCTTTATTCTCGCAATTCAAATCTCCATTGTTTGTATTGCAGAAGTTGTTATAAAGGCAGTCGTTTTGCTTTTGGCATGTTTGTTTCACATAGGTACATATTATTTAAATCATAAGTAACAAGATTACGGAATATTTTTAATTTTGACAATGCTTATATCGCAAAGATACCTGAATGATCTATGTAGAACCTCGAATGTCATGTGGCAAGCAATAGTCCCACAATCAAATTAAATAAAGGTACCATGTTGCCCTGAGATAGTGATGAACATAATAAATGAATATACCATACCCAATTCAACATTCAACATGACCCTTCAATAGAAGTGAAAATGGGTTTATCAATTATAACTTGGCAACGCCTCAACCGAATCCAATTTTTTTCACAGCGATGTAGAGCTAAACCGTAGCGGAATGAATTTTGAATAAAAAAATCTGGGTGTTCTATTTGAAAAAACTCGTCTCCGAGTCCTCCCGCTTTTATAAAACACCCAGTATTGTTGGAAATAATTTTGAAATGGAACCTTCAATAACGGAAGAAATTCGTTTCCAAAATTTTTTCTCTAGTGATAATGGATTTCGAGATATCGAAGAATTACGCACTAAATGGACACACTGTAGATACCAATGGCACCGAACAGAAACGTTCTCTGTTTCTGTTCGGTGCCAATGGCAGATTTCAAAATTCTCACAATATGACGCATTTTCAAGTAGAAACTGATTGTGTATTTCATAAGGATTATATGGTTATGCAAGGCTGATATATGATGATTGAGATATTCAATTATCCACTTTTGAGCATTTTTCTCTTAATTGAATGATTATTATTTTTTGCAGGCAATGTATAGACAATTGATGGAAGCAAAAAGCAAGACCAAAATAGATCCGGAAATAACCTTGCAGTTCCTCAAATCAGCAGTTTATTACTTTTTGACTGATAAAGAAAACAGCCAAGGACACCTGAAGGCCATCCAGAGCATCCTTGGATTCACTTCTAGTGAAATATTGAATATAGAAAAAGCTAGATTAACATAAATAATTTAATATACTTATATAGTGCCTATATAATTATTTGTTCACATCAAATTGTTTCACTTTTAAGAGATATTTAAAATATAAGTTGAAGGTATATTTTCTCTTTTTTGTCATCAAAATATTCACAATTTTCATTTAACCCATTTGTCCCTGAAACTATATATTTTTTTTCGATTACTATAAATCATCAGAGTTGATTTCATTAATTATTAATTACAGAGTTATAGGATGTGAAAAATCGAGATTCGAGGTTTTAACCCTACATTTTATTCACTATCAATTGATATTTAATTGGAATAAATACAGGGTGGTTCAGAATTAGGATTTTTGACCACCCTGTATCAATTTCAATTAAATATCAATTGATAGTACATGAAATGATAAGATGGGGACTTGGAAATCGTTTTAACCAATTATGAATAGTTTCGACACAAAACATTTTTAAAGTTGAAAAATCTCGATTTTCGACACCCTATATCTTTGTTGTCATTCCCGCTAGACCCCAAGTGTGGTAGATCGATGAAATGAGCTCTTCAGGGAGAATCTGAAAATGGAATGATATACAGGGTGTCCCTTGAAAAAAAATCAAAGTTGCTGCTACTTTTTCAATATATTATCCGAGGAACCAAATTTTCAAAATAATCCTACGTTGCGTTCCCTCGAAACGTCTAATGTACTATTCAGCGTGAATCAGCCTGTATGGTTTCATTCGTTAATTACCTGCATGAGAAAATGAAGCAAACTATTATCATCACTAAATTAAAGAATAATAATATAGGTAAGTTTGTCGTCAACCTCGAATTATGTCGAACAACTCTTTTCCAGCATACATGTTTGTACGCTGTCTTTTCATTTCTATTCACTGTTTTCCAAAACTCGTTTGTCTAAATAAAATCGAAACTTTATAGCTGTATATGAGATGTGCTGTATAGAACGGTTCGAACTCGCCGAATGAAGCCATCATAGTTTTCACGATCCTGTCGTGCAAAACACATATTGACACTTTTGATTTGATAGCTGATGGCCTACTGACAGTACTGACAAATGACAAATCTGACAGAATATTTGTTTTGGTATTGTCTAAGGTGGCTATAATTGACTGGTGTAGCAACTCTTCAATTGTTTCTGGAACGAATGTGTCGATCGATTTTAGCATAGAACACAACCAATAAGGGTCGGTAACATAGGAATTTTGCCTTGTTGACATTGATTGTCATATGTGTCAAAATTTAATATTCGATTTTGGCGCTATGAATATTCTCAGATTTCGGTTAGTCAAAGTTTCATTCCTCCAAAACTGTGCTCGAAAGTTCGGAAGTTTTGTAGTGCTGTTTGATGTGTTTGGTGATTCTTTTTAGTTTTTCAATAAGTTTGTTATCAGAGTCAGAGATTATAGTCTGTATAATCTCTGTCAGAGTGTTTATAAATGGAAGTTTTGTTGTGTTTTGAATTGTTGTGATTTGTAATACACCAGGAAAATGGAATACTGTATAGTGTGTGGACAAATAAAACTGTTTCTCGTCGCCTTTTTGCGATTCCGAAGGTAATTTTTCCCACATAGATACGTTTAAAGCAGGATTTGTAAATCCACCAAACCATCACCGTTTGTGAATGAATGATCGGAATGTGTGTCTATTGTCTATCACTTCGATCTAACATATCAGCCTTCAAATAAATAACTATTATCAATTGAATTCCACTTCTTCTCATCAGATAGTCCATGCATTTTTGCATTTTAATCATTACTTATATTCTCATCAGTTCAGTTGGGTTCATATGAATTCAGAATCTACTGTGGAAATTTGTCATGAGAACATTATTCTATTCTTAGGATGACAATGTGAGAAAAGAATGGATTCGTGCTGCTGGTAAATACTTCTATATTATGGTTTTGTCTGTTCTGACCATTTTTCATCAGAAGATTGTTCAGGTGCACTTAGGCTGAGACATGGAGCACTGCCATGAAAACAGTAACTTTACCTATTTTTTATCAATTACATATAGTAACTAAAGCTATTCCTGCTCTAATAATAACTATTATTATATGTATATGGTACTATGAGCCAGATAAGCAGTATTAGTACAATATGATCAATGTTTGATACTCACAGTAGTTTCATTGTACAGATGACTTTTATTGATCATCTAGTTGGTAGGTAGGTACATCATATTGTATCTCAATAATCACTGATTCAATATAGTTCTAGGATTCATACAGATCTAATCAATACACCTCCACAAACACTATATTATCATTATAACTGAGGTCATTAATTTCTAAAATATTATTGAACATAGTCAATGTTTAAATAGCAATTATCAAAACCTTTGAGAATATAGGAAAACTAGAGTTTCAAATACCCAATAAAACAAACTATAAGTGAAGATACTCACCATCTACACCTCCTTCAATTTTTTTCAGATGTGTACCATTTATTTATTTTTTCCTTGCTTCTAATATAGTTTATAATTATGTGCTTTAGTTGTCTTATGAATGGGAAACTTTTTATCAGCATTTCAAAAAGAAAGAAGTGACCTTTATATATTTTTAATGCTCCATAATAATTTCAGCTATTTTTTGAATATTCATAAAATTATATATAATGACTCATAGTTGAAACTGCAAGTATAGAGTAATTTTCCAGCAAAATTGTATCTTTATGTTATGCTCCTCTTCAAAATTAATAAGCTATATATCCGAGAATCCCAGGCTATATCCATGGGAGTAGTTGAATTTCATAAATAACTAAGACAGTGGGGAAAGTATGGTGAATCACCTACCTAGGGTCAATTAAAGTGCCTACTTCATTATAATCTTTAAATTGGTTTGTATTGACAGAAAAACACAGTTATGTATTATTCCTGTCAGTTTGTTTCTAATGAATGAATAATAGTTATTTGTTTCACTGGCTGGTGTTTCATAGCCTATAGGCATAATTAACTGAGGCTAGGAAACCAGTCAAGGCATTACATCTGCTTTTCTGCCATGTGAAACATATAATTTTTTCTCCAAATTCTTCTCAATGTCATGCAGAGTCCAAATAATCCATCATTTTTTGTTCACCCAAAGTCATTGTCAATTTTGATTACCAATTTGATTTATATTACTCAGAATGTTGCAAAGCAACAAACTTTTTCTGCCTAGGCAGTAAAAGTACACCTTTTCTGCTTGTTTTCCACTTTTAGTGTCATTTGAAGAAAAAATACTTTTTTTCATGAAACTGGTCAGACAGAATGTCCTGTTTGTATACAGTGTGTCCAAGATAAGGATGTCTATATGGGGTGAATTGATGATGGTTTCTCTGGAACGAAACATCCTATGGAAAATCTATCATTGTTGTTTTGAAGAGCTTAAAAAGTGGCAAGGAGAAAGTGTCTTCTGTTTTCCTATATCTCTTTAAATAAAAATTATCCCCATGATATAGACTCCTTATCTTGGACACAGTGTATTTTCAAGGGAAATAAAAACACACAATATTTTAAATTTTAATAGGTAATGATATATAATTATGTAGAGTATGTTAGCATCAAAAAGTTTGTTAAATATCTATAGGTAGGTACCAAATTTCATATGCTTACATTTTTATGTTAACAGACAATTTTTTAACAAATGTTTCAATTTCAACATTTGCATTAATAAAAAGGAGTGACATACAAAATATTGTTTGACTTTGAATGCATCCCATTCTTATTTTCCAGATTTTGTAAACCATCTACTAGTCTTTATTTCACTGAAGAATCTACTTTTTTTTACCAGAACCTGAGCCCAACCCTGAATCTGATCCTGAACCTGCAGAGAAAAATGAAGGCATCAACAGTGTCTTTGGTGTCATTTGTGCACTCATGAAAACATATGTTTATTCCCTTCCTCTTCCCCCTACCTGGGGTATTCATATAAAACAGAGAATGCAATGATATTCTCCAAACTGTTAATAGGAGACACTGTGGCTATTGAACGTCTTCTACTAGTTACAGCAGGAAAAATATGTGCACAAGTTCATGATAAATCAATGCATGTTACTGATACAATAGAAACCATTGGTGATTTGGTAAAACTGGTTCAACAAATGGAAAACTCCAGAGTGTGTGATATGGTAAAAGTAATTCTTGTAATATTTTCCCTGGTGAAAGAAAATCACTCTGTAAACCTTGTTGGAGTTATAAGTATTTCTTGTAAAATAGAGCTGATAACAAACTGAAGAGCATACTTCTGAAAAGATATAAAGCAAAGAGTTTGATTTATATCAAAAAACAGAACAGACATTTCAAAAATGTTATAACAAACTTAAAAAAGGAGAGAATCGATGAAAATAAACTCAATTTATTTGTGAAAAAAGTCTACACAACAAGAAATGATCAGGGCATGTCATAAGGCAGCAAAAACAAAGAGCACTGGCAACAGATATACTTTGGAATGGGTTTATGAATGCATTCTCATGAAAATTGAAAGTACTAGATTATATAATATATAACAATTTATGAGATGATAAAATATTATCTTCCAGAATTATTAATTGATGAAACAACTATTTTCTATTTTGGATATTACTTATTCCTACTCTGAAAATGTTTTCAAGTGGAATGCAAAGACAACCAATGATTATAGTTATGCATGTCTGCCCAGTCATTCAGTTTATATATTTTTTTCATAATATATAATATTCATTTATGCATATATTAATATATCTATTACACTCTATTAGGATGCCTAATTGAAATGGACATCTCTATCTATCTATTGTCTGCACAAAGCAGATGCATCTTTTCATCACACTATTTTTATTGCTTATTTCTTGATTTTTCCCAGGGGTAAAATGTTGATCACCTAACTCCAATTTATCAAGTGATTCCAAATAATTCTGATTATCGTTTGGGTGTTCACTACTCTTACCCCTAGGATTTTTTCTTCTTCAGACGTGAGTTGAATGAAAAATGTTTTGTAATAATTGTTCCATTGTTCCATTGCACCTAGTTTCGAAAATATTGAGGTAAGTGATGAGGAAAATATAAGTTCAACAATCAATTGCAAGCATCCTTTTGTCAAAGAAATTTATACCATAATTACTTCATGATATATACCGAGAAGTGCCCAAAAA